GGAGAAGATGCATGTCCTGTTCAGAATCTGATGTTTTCAATACTATTCTAGAAGAACATGGTGCCCTAGAGAAACATACTAAGTAAGTTAAACACGAATTAATTAATTAATTTTTCTATTGGTATTATTCGTATTTATGTTCTTTATAGCCGGCCAAACGGCTGGACCGAATGGGCTGAACTTTTTTTGTGGACACAGATAGCCCAGGGGTGACGTAGGCAAAAAAAATGCGAACTTCTTTCTCTTCAAAATGTATGTTTTTTTTCACGGGCAACGCTGGGCCTAACAGCTAGTTATTTATAAAGTTATTTTAAATATTAAAATGAAATTAACAATCATATAATTAAGACATGAACGAAGCAGTTCCCTCATGGGAAGAATCAAGAAGTTCCAGTGTACAGGGACCATTGTGTACTTCTGCAGGTAGTGTACAGGGACCATTGTGTACTTTTGCAGGTAGTGTACAGGGACCATTGTGTACTTCTGCAGGCAGTGTAGAGTGTACAGGGACCATTGTGACTTCTGCAGGTAGTGTAAAGTGTACAAGGACTATAGTATGCTAATGCAGGTAGTGTACAGTGTACAGTGACCATAGTTTGATAATGCAGGTAGTGTACAGTGTACATGGACTATAGTATGCTAGTGTAGGTAGTGTACAGTGTACAGTGACTATAGTATACTAATGCAGGTAGTGTACAGTGTACAGTGACTATAGTATACTAATGCAGGTAGTGTACAGTGTACAGTGACCATAGTTTGATAATGCAGGTAGTGTACAGTGTACATGGACTATAGTATGCTAATGCAGGTAGTGTACAGTGTACAGTGACTATAGTATACTAATGCAGGTAGTGTACAGTGACTATAGTATACTAATGCAGGTAGTGTACATGTATCAAATATCACAGCAATCCCCATATTTGTTAAACTGAGCATACCTAGATATATTAAACATGAACTACGTAATATGCTTAAAATATGCATTGTGATAAGATTTACCTGCAATTATATATATCCATCTTAATCCTTTAAATACATACATTCAACTTAAATTACGCTGTATACATGTGTGGAGATAGCTTTAACTAAGTTATATCTATACTTGTTAATCTTATAAATACGTGCAATAAACTTTAACTGTGTGGTAAATACGTAACATGATTGTCTTAATCATTTGATATAGATAACAACGAAGGAATTGTAATTACGTCAATTTACATTAACTTCTAAATATGTGCTTCTGCGGGTAGTGTACAGTGTACAGGGACCATAGTGGACTTCTCTGAAGGTAATGTGCACTACAGGCACAGTTACAGTTTATTTCAATAACAGAGTAACAAATGCCTTACTCCAATAGTACTTTAAGTATGTATCAATCCAGATATAGCTCTCTCATAGGTATTCTTAAGTATGTATCAATCCAGGTACAACTCTCTTCGTATTCTTGAGTTTCAATCCAAAAATAAGTCTTTCATAGGTATTGTTCATTACGTATCAATCCAGATATAACTCTCTCTCATCTGTATTCTTGAGTATGTATCAATCCAAATATAACTCTCACAGGTATTTTTAAGTATGTATTTATCGAGACACAAAGCTATAGAACTCTATACTCTCTACCAAGCAATATTACTCTGACCCTAATCAAACAGAGCTCATATTCAACTAACTATATTATAGTTTTATATACAAGACATGTTAATTACGGTTATTACTAAATATACAGTTAGGTTCAGGTTTCCAAGATATGGTGTCATTACTATATTTATTACAACACTGAATTATTGTATAGTTTCTGTAGGTAATGAAAACTGTAATGTATAGTGTAGTATAAAGTATTATTTATGGTAAAAGTTAAAATAATTTACAGCTACATAAACATTTTTACTATTTTGTTTCTCAATATTTTCTTCTTGTACAATTTATTTGTAAGTATTACAGTACTTATTTTGTCCATTATCTAATAATTTTCTTCAATTATAAAAGTCCTCATCATGAATTAAATCTTTCAACATTGCCTTTTTTTTCCTAAACCCACCCTCGTGTTGCAAATGAAAAGAACACTGTTTTTTTTAATTTAATTTTTTGTATTTTTAAGATCTCGTGGCCATGGATTTATAAAGCCGGACAAGGAGATGAAGGAGGGAGGTGAAGAGGAGGGGAAGGAGGATAAAGAACCGGAAAACATATTCGTTCATATCTCAGATATTGGTTAGTTTTCAGATTTTACAAAAATATTAATTTATTAATCGCTAATCGAAGTAAAATGGGTATAGGCTAAAACAGCTTTTACTCCCGAGTGGTATATGACGTGTTATGAATTCAAAAAGTCTAATAAAAACTAAACCATCAATTGTGCAATGTAAAAAAATAAAATTTTTAATATTTTATTTTAATTTAAAGGAGATCAACTACCTTCGACATTTAAAAAAGATTTCAAATTATCAAACAATATGAAAAACGCAAAATCTTAGTAACAAAAACGATTTCTATATTTCTGGAGTAAAATCTAATATGATTGGACTGCTTCCTCCTCACAATTTCCCTAACTTTCAACTGATCATCAATCTCAATTCGAATTTTATCTGCAGAACCAATGTTTTAATTCTAACAAATGCTATGTTTGCAAAATAATCGAAGAAGGCAAAGACAATTTCACAAAGGAAAGACTCAAAAGATTAAAGAGAGTTGAATATATAATTAAACATTACGGATGTCAAAAAAAATAATAATAAAAAAGCTGCTTAAAAATGCCCTTTTTGTGTAAAACCTAAAATCTTTTTCACAACCCAATTAGCCTATTTCATATTTTCAACATTCAAAAAAATCTTTAATTTTTATTTCTAAAAGTTGTTAGTTCATCGTCGAATCATACTAACAATCCACCACCAATTATATTAAATGTAGTGTCAACTAATAAATATGTAATTTTCCTTTTCCTTTCCTTTTTCTTTAATTTCCTTTAGAATTGGGGAAAAATATTCCCACAACCTCTATTTCTGGAGGTTTTCAAATATTTTCTCCTGAAACACTCAATTTTGTACGTTTTCGTTATATTTCATAAATAATTACTTACTTACTTACTTACTAACGATCTTTACTTATAACAGAATTGCAAAAATACCAAATTCAAAATTTTGTATTTATAATTCAACCTTTGAACTGATTCTTCAAGATTCAAAATAAGAAAATGTCAATATTTTATGAACTTCAAATTTATTATTTTTAGACAAATTATTTTCTAGCAACTAAATGATTCCAAAGTTTTCTTGTTGCAAAAATCAATGAAAATTGTTATATTAAACTGATTATATACAATGAAGATTTATAGTCTGAAAACCCTTCTTTGAATCAAAATTTGTTCTTTTTAAATAAATTTTACTAAAAATTTAGTTTTTTTGTTTTTAATCAACGAAAATGTGAAAGATAAAGTTGAAGGAAGATTTTAAAAATAAATTTTATTCTGAATAAAAAGATTAAACTTATTCTCTTGTATTTTAGATAATGATTTTGAGCCAAGAGCTGGAGATAGGGTTGGCTACCAAATCCTTCCTATGCCCCCAAAGTTTGAGAAATATCAGGTAAAGGTTTAAATTCAAATATTATGAAATTTACTCCTTTTCCCCAAATCTTGTTTTGACGTAAGACGACATTTAACATTTGCATTTATTTCAGGCTGTGCACGTTCATGTGATTGGAATGACCCAGCAGCGGCACAAGGCCTGGACTAGCATGCAGACACCAGAAGAGATTCAGCAGGTATTATTTGGTTTCGATGGTAGAGGGCTAAGTCACGTTTCAGAAAGGACAATCAGTTAAGTTCTGATCTCAATAATGTAAATTATTTGGTTTAAGACTGAAAAGTCGCCTTTTAAATAATTATGACAATTCCTGAATTTAACATTATTTTTCATTTAACTAAAATCCCAAAAAACCCTTGCCTGTTTTTTTGCTTTCAAAATTACGACAGACATTGAAAATTTTGTTTAGATTTCGATTTATGAAATAAAACCAGGACACTGTCATAATTGTTAACGAAATCATTCATATCTTCGGTTATAATTAACACACAAAAAGACCACATTTCGGAAATGCCAGGACTGGAACAATTTTGCGAATATTTTGCGAATATTGTTCATGAAAGTATTGCTAAAATTTGTTTGCCAAATGAATGCTGCCAACTATGCAAAGATCTTAAAGAACGACTTGATAGTCTTAAATTGATAAATTATTTATTCTGGCTTATTTCGAACAGCTTTGCCCCCCCCCTTCGCTCTAACTTTGGAAGGGGGGGGGAAATTAAATGTTGAAATTTTGAAGATCTTAAGAATTTCGGGGATTAACTAGACTAAAGTGTATATTGAGTTCGTTTACATATATATACATATTACATAAATATGTGTTATCATAAGTATTTGTTAGCCTAATCACTTCAGATTGAGATGAAAATTGATTAAGCCATATCAGAAATTTAAAAAAATTCATGCTTGACTGACTTTAGCTTTCAAAGTTACTGGTTACCGGTTGTGAAGCTAACATACACCTTATCAATGTAGAGTCATTTGAAATTTTCAACCAGTTTCTCCATTGATTAATTAGAATAACAGATAGGACACTACATGTCGTATTTTCAATATTTATGCGTGTTTCGTTCACAATAACCCTGAGGCAGAAGCCCAAAGGATTTACGCGTAGTCGGCTTTTTCTCTGTAGAATTAATTAATCTATAACAGAAAAAAGTAAAATTAGCAGCGATCGATATCGAATTCAATTCAATATCTTTGTAACAAATATCCCCGAGTATTATTTCAGGGAAACCTGATACCTTATCTATATTCCTTCTAATAACTATTATAATCATTTTATGCATACTTCGTAACCAAATAAAAGATTAACTTTATCGTTCATGAACCTTGTATATATATATGTCCTAGTTGGGTGCCTGCTACGCCGGTCACCCTATTTGAAATACAGTGCGTTTTTTGTAGTTAAGATTGATTTGGAAAGACTGGCATTTTGTGAAAAGCCTATACCCCAATTTATTTTTCACGAACACTCCCTTTAACAATGTTTTTTTCAGGAGACTATCGAGATGAAGAAGGATGTAAAGGATACAACTCCTGCAGCTGCTGATGTTTAATTCTTGAACCAAATATCATCAAAATATAAAATCTGAATTTTTTAGTGTGTCAATTTTATTGTTTACTTTTACCCAACCTGTACAATGTACAGTGTACATTATAATTGTACATTGTACAGTATAAAATGGCTAGTGTATTTAACTACTGTGTACAGAGCCATATTCCAGCCATATTTATGCAATATTTTTTTTAATAAACTATTTTAATCATTGTAACACATTCTTTATAAATGGACAGATTTTTGGGCATTTCATTAGTCATGAAACTAAATCTAAATTTGTAATTATTCAAAAATTCAAAAAGTGAGTTTTTCCGGGAACAATCTGGAAAAACGTAAGATTTCAAAACATTTCCTAAAAATTGCTAGAAAATATTTCTTGGTTGATAACAGGATTCTCTCTTGCCCTATTTTCAGAAAGTGTTGCTCGGGGCTGGAAAAGTCCTAAACATTTTTCTTGGAATTTTTCCGACGGAAGTTTTTAGCTTTTAAGATGAATTTTACCAATCCATCCTGAGTCCTGAAAGATGTCTCTTGCATTTTGATTCTGACAAATGATAATTTTCATTTAAGTCAAAAAAAAATTTTGTTTGAAGGGAGCGCGTTTCCTAAAAAAGTCTAGATCTATATTTTTTTAGATTACAGTGAGACTCACAAAACTGTGGAATTTGAAGACCGTAATTAAGCAATCTTCTGTGTATTTGATGTTGTGCTACAGCAAAAGTCCAACAGCCTTCTTGCCAATCCTCAGTGTAATGGGTCCCACCAAGGTTATAATGCAAGGAAAGTTATTTCAGAGGTGTAAGCATATTTTGTACTGTCTCTGGGAGGTAATGTAAACAAAAGACGGATGTCACAGTCTGACATGGGATCCATGTTTCATATAAGAATTAATGAAATATTCTGGTCATTAGAAATTATTAAGCGAATTATCAAAACTTTCAAAATTCAATGCTTTTATCCTCCTCGGATACTAAACGAACACTGATGCATCTATTCTCGTTTACAAATTCCGCCCAGAGAGAACTGGATTCAACATGACCCCAGAGTATACGCAACTCCAATTAACTTTTTTGCATTCTAACCTTGAGTTCCACAATATAATTGTTGCTGATATGAATATAAAGGGTATTTGGGTCTGTTGACACTACACAGTTTCTGCGTTTAATGTTCATAGGAATACTAGCCTGGAAACCCAGCTTTTCCTTGAAACAAAGTTTCTTTATAAGAACTTCTAAACCCAGCAAGAACATTCCAATGTTTCCACAGAGTTCCCCAATTAAAATTTGAGGCAAATCGGCTGAGGGGTTCTTGAGTTGAGATCGGACATACAAACAGAGATTACTAATTTCACCATAGTTTCAGTAGAAGTAAATATTTCCATTCACTGTTATAGCGCCGATATAAGGATTTATCTCTAATTGGATAATGAGATAGATAGAAAGATAGATGTTACCGCGGCTTTATATATAAACAAGATATAGGCTGAAAGAGACTGTAAAATCGAAACTGGAGTCAGAGAATTTTTCCATTTCCACAGTTTTATGGGTCCGACTGTATAATTGTTGCCAAATGAATAGAAAGGATAAAGGGTATTTAGGACGTTTGTCCATTTTCCAATAAGATCTAATTACCCCCCCCCCCCCTCCCACGGGATGTAATCCCTCAATCCCATGTTCCACCACCTCAGTATTCCCTCCACTCCGCATCCATTAACACCATGCATTGGTATACAATAAAAAGATAAACTAGATTTCAAACTTAATATATCAAGGCTCCTAGTGAGGGTGGGTGGGAAGGCACCCCGAACACGTTTTTAGTCCGTACCGCAAATGATGTCACAAAGTCAACTTTCCGGCACTTTTTGCAACAATGCTTCTTCGGCACTCCCACTCACCTCCTTCTACACTTTACAGTGGTTACAGTGGTAACCAGAAAACACTGGAATTCTTGATTTGATTACAAAATGTCGCTAAGGATTCTGTAATTGGCAATAGTACTAGTTATAAAAAGTGTCATGGAAATATGTCAGTTAACAAATCCATGGCAAAATTTAGGTGGAAGGAAGAAAAAAGACGACAATAAGAGTCCGCAGTTTCTGGTTCTCACTGTAAACACTTTTAAAAATCCTATTTCAAACTTTCTTGATTTCATTGTCAAACTGAAACATTCCAAAATTAAAACGACTTTTTTTGAGGTGACTTTATAAGATTTTAAAGCCAGTTTCCAAAAAAGATTGGGCCAAACCTGTTCAATCAGATCATTGACATTTTTTTATATGGGTTACCCACAAAGGATGAGACTGTAAAGACGACCCAAATTTCTAAATATATGACAATTTAAAGTTTGATTTTTGGTTTCTGCATTTAATTGAGTATTTTGCTGGTTTAGTAAACTATCAAGTGCATAAACAAGCCAGTTTTGGCCTAAAATAAACCCTGAAAGCAAAAAAACGGACTAAACAAACTCCATACAATCGTCTCTAAAGACTCATCATGTGTGGGTAACCCTGTATGTCAATGTTTAAAGAATTTTTTTGTCAAATTTATGAACGGAATTATAAGTATTTTTTTTTACAATATTTAGTAAGAGCACAACAAGTTTTTTTTAGATTTTTGTATATTTTATTGGAATACAACATGGTCATTAATGTGTGTGGACTGGAACAATTATGCTCTGAAATAAAGAGGCTAATTAAATGAATTATTAATTAGCATAATCCTCATTAATCTATATACGAGTAATTCGTGGTCAGTTGTTCAAGGACTTGATCCTACAATTAGCTGTCATACATACATTTATAGATATTTATTCGTTTTTAATTGACCCCACTTTCTTCTAGGTACTCATGTACCCTTTTACTAAGTTCATCTAGACCCTCTCCCCCTGTACTGATAGTTTTGTACCCTCCTAATCCTGCCTTCCCCTCTGCTATACTAGGGCTGGGCACGTTCCAACTCGTTCTACCCGTTGCGTTAACGGTTAGTTCCAACCGTTAAAAAAAATTTCAGGTAAAGCTGTTAATTTAAAGATAAGAATGGAATTTTCGTTCCGTTAACAACATTTTCCGTTTCATTTTAAATTACCGTTATTACAAAATTAACGGCGCAAAGCGACAGAAAAATATCATTAACGGCGAAAAAATGTTGTCAATGGTTTATAAACATATTAGAAAACATCAAAACTCGAAAAATAAAAAATATGTCGTGCAATTTTAATCAGAAAATAACGAAATTGACCGTTTTTAGTTTTTTAGCTAACGTTTTTAACCGTTAATTTTTTTTTAAAACGGCTAATCTGTTTCGTTAACGATTTAAAGATTAACTATTTTTGCCATTCGTTAACGGACTCCTCCGTTAATTTTCGAAAACCTCCGTTTCGTTAACGGAACTTTGACCAGCCCTAATTACCAAGTACTCGTTCTTCTTTTACTGTACCNTCCCCCTCCTTACTAGATACTCTTTTACCCCCTTATTTTACTGGGTACCCCTGATAACCAAGTAATAGGTTATACTCCTGGACTATCACCTCCCTCTTTACTATGTACTCAAGAAATGCACCCCCCCCCTCTCGCCACTCATTTTGTTAGGTACTCCTACCCCTACCTACTATGGTATACTATACTTACTCTCCCCGGCCCTCTCATAAGACATACTGTGTTTAAACGGCCCTTACAGGTAATGCACCCTGCATGAATTATTTATGAAGGTGGCCTAAAATCTAAAAATAGAATTTTACTTAAATATTAAATCATTATTCTAATGTTTACTTAATATTTTAATGGTTGTTATAATATGTCTGAATAGAATAATAATATAATAATATGCTAAACTTTATATTTAAATCTAGTATTTTGGTAACACTTGAGTCCGCTATAATTACGTGTACAATTATGTACAATCATAAAAATATATATATTTATGTAATATATATGAGTGTACAATGTAATGTAGATACATAAAAATATAGATGGCTTTTTTGCCCTTCATATTGAATACACTAAAAAATATTTTTGCGGAATTTTTTTTTCATTTGGAAGAAATTTGCGAAATTATTGTTGCTAATTGTATAGATCTTAGATAGGAGCTTTTGATTGTACAATGATCTTGATATTAAATATGGAACTTTTAAATTTTAGGGTCTCATTCTCAATCAAAATTATTCCTGCAGGAAAAAAATGGAACGTTTTCAATTTTCTGAAAAAAGAACCTATTGTTTAGTCAACGACGTAGGAAAAGGCCAAAGAGAAATAACAAAATTGAATTTTTTTAAAATGTTGTCGAATTTTTTTTTCATACATTTTCTGGTTTGTAAACTGTATTAAGAAGAAGGTTGTGCTGGGCGTCACATACTCCTACGAGTCAGAAGAACTCATTAAAATCGAGAAAGTTTTGTAAGTTTAATTTCATTCATTTATTTCCAGGAATTATTTCACGGAAAAGGAAAATTGCAAAGGTAAAATTCACAAAAAACAAGATTTTCTTCAGAAATTGATAGCAATAGCTTTTAAACATAAATGCACGTGTTTATTCAAAATTTCGTGCAATTTTTACTGAAGACATATAAACAACTTCTGCGCAATTTTCGCTAAAATTTTAGGGCGGAAAACCCATATATAAAGAAATTTCTTAAGGCCAGTTTCCTCTGTAAAAAAACATATAAAAGACTAAATTCATAAACTTCCTCCTTCGTTTTGATTCCAATGATTTCAGTAGAATATTTAGAAGAAGATTTTTTTTTTAGGAACATTTCTAGGTTCTTGAGAAAGTATCAATTTATTCTTGATTAATGGTTTATGAAATATAAAAAATAGCCATGTCGTCGAAAACCAGTTTTGTTTTATGTGAAAAATATCATAGAATATATACTTTTCCTTTGATTAAAATGTAAAACTAATCTATGGTGGATTTTGTCCCAAAAAATGTTTTTCAGGCCAATATCAACAGTGAGTGTTTCTAATTTTGTTTTTTGACCTCTTCGTTCTCAGCAATGATTTCGACCATCCCCCTCATGAAACTTTCAAGGAGGTGTGATAAATAAAATTTGATGAACTTGAACTTTTTATTATTTTTTATTTTGTTTTTCTAAATTCGAATTTTCTTTTTCTATAAATTAAAGCTCCTCTCTTATTTTTATAAATGTTAGCTATAGGTATAGCCAAACAGCTGAGCCAAATTGGCTGATATTTTTTACAGAACTTATGCGTACCCCAAAGGGGGACTAAGACCAAGCTAATTTTTTTTGAAATGCTACGGGTAACGCCGGGCACTCACAGTTTGATACCAAGCGTGGGTAAACGACAGGAGTAATTATGACTATGAATAATTTAATATAAACCTGGACAACGTCGGGTTCCCAAACTAGACAAATAAAGCATAGAATTTATATGTATGTTCCTTCCAGTTATAATCTGTTTATTCATAGATGCATTCTATTTCATGTAAGTAAGAGACATTTATTGTCTTTAATGTTTTTTGGAACACCCTGTAATCGTGAATCTTATTAAATAATCATAAGCAAATATTGAGGTCTATACCTTCATGCATATAGTTTCAAACCCAGACTCATCAAGTAACATTATATTTATTATAATAATTTGTCTGCATTTGACCATGTATACAGGATAACCCACCAAGGATGAGACTTCTCTTTCTGTTTTCTTATATTTATGGTTCCATGAAACTTTTAACTTTTGCAAGGAAAAGATTATCCTTCTTAATTATGAAGTCACACAAAAAATCATAAATTTCATTCGATTTTGGTCTCCTTAATTTTATTCTTTCAATCACGCAAAATATCACAGATTTTTTTAATGATTTCGGTGTTCTCATTGTCTAAAATGAATTTTAGATTTAGAAAATAATAAAAATGGCATTTCGTGGTAGCCTAATGTTACAGAAGGGAATGGACAAAAGGAAGGAAGAAGAACTTTTGAAATGTAAGTTAGAAGTTAATATTGTAAAAATAAACTTATTATAAAGAACTGATTACTGGTTACTTACTGAATTTTTCCCCCAACCTGATGATGTGATATTTTAAACTTAGTGATTTAATCTAACAGAATTTAATATTCAAAATATCAAAGGATTTCAAGCTTTCAATACACAACGGAATCAAAAATTAAAGTTTATGGCAAGTAATTATTACTTTTCAATAAACTCAAAATTCAAAAGTTGAAAGATTAAAGTTTTCTTTCATAATTAAAAAGAAATTGAGATTATTTTTTATTATTTGGAAACTTATCCGGTTTTTTTTTTGAGAAAATCAAATCGGAAATGTAAGCCAACAAAAAAAATTTCTTCAAAATTAATCAATATTTAACACAAAGTGCAGAAACGTTAAATTCGCAAAAATCCCTGGAAAATTGAGAAAATTATTAGCAAAATCCCTGGAAAATTGAGCAAATTTTCAGCAAAAATCCCTGGAAAATTGAGCAAATTATCAGCAAAAAACATTTTTTTTTAAAGATTCAGGGTATCAAAAAAAACAGTTTTCTTAGCCTTAAATCAAACAGTTTTTGGAATATTTAAAAACGTATAAATGCAAGTGCGGTATTCAGCGGTTCAAGGCCAGTTAACCATAATAACCATATCCACACATTTGAAAATATAAAAAATCGATTTTTATTTTTTAAATTGTCAATTTCTGAATTAGGTTTTTAAATTTTTTCTTTTATAAATGCTGCTTCTAATTTGCTACTACCCTTAATATAAAGTAAAATGAGAGAAGTTTCATGTTTGATTTTTGCATGCTAAGGAAGGTAAATTATTTAATACTTTTTTATTGCAAATTGTTGCCCATAACCCCCCCCCCCCCCTCACCTAGAAGTAAATAATTTGACAAAAGAATCTTCTCTTGCAGCAGTATACGTTGCAGAATTTGTTGTTTAGAAACAAGAATAAATTAGAATTCAGGTCTTTATCTGCAGGCTTCACTTTACTATATTACACTTAAAGGGACTGTAAGCGAAATTTCAAGTGATCCTCCATTTATAAACTAGGATGTACGATTCACAACGGTATTCTTTCAACATTTGTCTGATTCAGATTCAGAATTAAATTTCTTTGCCGTTAAGTGCACAAGTCTCCTTTACCATTTTGAGTTGGAAAAATATCCAATTCCCGTTGACGATCGCATACCACTTGGGAAATGAAAGGTCAGTCAAAATAAAGTCTGTCCCTGTACTTCTGCGAGTACGTTTTGTGTACAAAAATTGGTACAAAATTGCGAAGGTGAGTCACTAAATAATTTAAAATTTTATTTTCAAATCTTTTAGTGTGAGTAAACTAAAGGGACTGCAAATGGAGATACTTTTAAGGGAGCTTTTATTTGAAGAATAACATATTACAACCTGTACCCTAATTGAGTATTTATCTGAGCTTGTTCTACCTTAACAAAATATTTGATTTCGGAAAATTTCTTATTTTGTTAGTTGTCTCTGCATTCAATTAAAAAAAAACATGCTTTTGACATTTCTAATGACCTATAAATACATTTGTTTAAAAAACTCAACAAGTCACTTTTTTTGAGACACCCTGCAAAGATAATATGCAAGTAATGTCTAAAATATATCAGAAACTGTTAAATTGTACTTTCAAGCATATATGAAATTAATTACAAGTCATCATAAGAAAGTGTCATTTTTCTGCACATTAATAATTACATTAAATGGAAAAAACGAACTTGGAGAACTCTTAAAGAGAGTGTTCGCGAAAAATGAAAGGGGGTATAGGCTTACGGCGAAAAATAAGCGCTTTTGATACTTACTTCTATCTGTTGTCTTTATAAAGAGAAAATTGCTAAAAACGACTCATGCTGAAGAACATCGCGTCCATACAAATTCAGAAAGTTGCAATATTCAACTCGGATCGTAAAAATAATCAATTTAATTCCAAACAAATCATTCAGATATTACAACCAATAATCATCGATAATTTTTCGATGCATTCGTATTTAGATAATATTTCATAATATTTTTTTAATATTTTTTTTATCAGAACAATTTCTTTATATTTCTTCAGCATGAATTTGTATACCTATGGTTGGGCATCTTTATTATCTTTTTTAAGATTAACTTTGGTTAGTTTAGGAGGCCGCAAGACCGGTTTTCTTTTTATCATACAAAATTTTCACATTGAAAAAAGAAACAAAATCAATCATTCGTTAAAAAACGATTTGAGAAAAAATATTGTTTTTTTTCGATCCATGAAAGGTTTTTATAGAAATTAAACAACAAGCAACAATGTTTGAAGTATCTGATAACAAGATAGCTAACAGTTTTTAATCAGAACATAATAACATTTTATTTATATGATTTCAAGTTGTATTTATAACAAAAAGTCTGATTTAATTAAATGATCAATAATGATAAAACCGTAGACTCATGCATATTTTAGTTTCAATTTACAATAAAATTAAACGATTTTCATGTAAAAAGAGCAGCTGATTAATAAATGTAACTAATTATTGAAAGCAAACTAGACACAATTCCTTTATGAACTTTTTTAGAATTTTGAATTCATAGCTTTTAATCTTTGAATACATGGTTTAACAAGTCCGTTCATACTTCTTACTCATTGATAAATTTCAAACTATGTTTTAAAATTGTTACACCCCTGTAAGAAAGCTGAAGGTGTTTTGCACATCAGAGTAGATATTGATAGAGGGTTCAGTGTACTGAGTACAGCAGGGAAGCTGGCCAAAACTGTAGGAAAAAAGTCCCAGGAATCCAAAACACAGGACTTTATTTCCAGTGCCATTTTTTCCAAGGACTTGAGAAAATTCGGACTTTTTTTCCAAAGTTTTTATTTCCAGGGTTTTTTTTCCAGAAACTTTTTTTCCGGGACTTTCTTACATAGATTCGTAAATATCTAGTCTATGGTGTTTTCATACAATTTCAAGCTGTACTTTTGGCAATCTTTTNCTTGCCACAAACTAGTCAATAAATCTTTGCAACCTAATAGAATAGAAAAAAACTATCGTTTTTAAAAACGACCCAGTCATATTGAACTTTTAGAAAACAAATAGTGATCGTTTTTGAAAGCGATCGTTTTTATAAAAACGATCAGTGATAGTCTTTTAATAAAAAAATAACATGCAACTTTATTGAATGTAGTCTTATATGAGCTATATGAACGCTCATTTTGCAAAACTATCGTTTCTAAAAACGACCTTTTTAAAAACAAACTTTTTAAAAAAGACGATCGTTTTTGTCGTCGTTTTCATAACGAAATGATTGTTTTTCAAAAAAATTAAAACGTTAACATCCCTAGTACTATGACATTGGGTTGCAAAGATATATGGATAAATATATGGCAAAGACTCAACGGTATTCCAGGATAAAAAGCTGAACTACAGTGAGTTCTGTGCAATGATGAACAGAAGAAAATCAGATACACAAAATCAGGAGAAAGACGGAGCAATACCTAAGTATTTTTTCTTTTTTTTAAAATTACGATCTATTTTTATTGATTCTCGCTATTCATTATTATTCATAATAATCAGTTTATTTCATAGTTAATAATCTATCATAGGGATAAGATTCGTCTCTTTTTATACTTTGCTCATTCATCTTTACGGTATGTTAAACCTTTTAAGTGATTTTTAACGACAGTTCAATAGTTTTAACAAAAGTTTAATGCTTGTAATGCTTTGGTTAAATTTTGGTATGTTAAACAAAGAAAAAAAATTCCATTTCTACTACATCTTTAAATCTTTATATTAAAAGAAAAGGGCGTTTAAAAGTTTGGTCTACAGCTTACATATTTAGAAAAGTCCATGAAAAATGGATTTTAAATATGTTTCATATATAATCGAATTAAATCTCCCTATAAGCAACCCTTACCATTAGATGATCTTAAAAAAATAACTACTGTAATCATATTCTCCACATTGTACAAAGTTGAGAAATTCTAAACACATCTCAGAAGTTTTTAAAGTCAAACAAAGACAAACAGCCTTAAAGGGAGTGTTCGCGAAAAATGAAAGGGGGTACAGGAATATGTCGAAAAATAATCGCTTTTCATTGCTACTAATCTTACTTCTATACTGTTGCGTCTATAAGGAGAAAATTGCTAAAAACGACTCATACCGGAGAACGTAGCGTCCATACAAATTCAGAAAGTTGCAACATTCAACTCAGATCATAAAATAATCAATTTAAGCTCAAACAAATCATTCAGATATTACAAATAATGGTCATCGATTACTTTTAGACTCAAACTAAAACTGGTGCACATCTCTAGCCAGTATATGTTCTTTTCCTGTGAGTATAGGGCTGTTCATAGATTTGGTTCGTTTAAAAATAAAACTTTTTATCAAACTTCTAACATTTCAAAACTAGATTCTGTAAATTTTTTTATCTTGGTTAAAGTTGCAATATTTTTATTATTCTAAGAAAAAATGAAAAAAAAACGATCATTTCGTTTTAACACATTATTTCTTTAAAGTGCAAGAAGAGCAAATGTTAAGAAGTAACAATTTGCAAATTTACAAAACTTCTCTGATTTGTTTGGAACTTTAAAAAGTCCAAAAAACCCTCAAAAAAGAAACAAAATGTACCAATTTATTGCATATCACTAAACTTCTATAAAATAAATGTGATTGTTGCAGGGAGAGCTGGGAGCCCTTGACTGAACATGGAAATCCATGCCGCAGATATGCTCCACTGGAGAAAGAAGACGACTAATGGAAATTTTGAAAAATTCAATTGATTAAGATTTCTATCATATTTAGTATTTTAAAATATGTATCATTTGTATGTTTTGAAAAATCATGTTTTTAATCTTAGAGCCCATTATTAAACATTTACTACAATTTTGCTCTCCTTTCTAGCACTCTTACTGTCTTTTAATGTAATTTCTTTTCTTACTTCTTACTGCCATAGATTGCTTTAGATTTTATTCACAAGCGCTTCCTTTAATTCAAGTTCCGTTTGGGGGCAATTGTGCATAATGCGGCAGTTAGATATTTTAAAGTCAAAAGTTAATTTCTGAAATCAATTAAAAGTCAACCTTGTGTTTATTTTGTAATTCATAGATAAAAATAGATCAAGATTGGGTTTAATCCATCAATATAATTGAAATTATATACACAAAACTTCAAAATCTGTCCGCGTCATTTTTAAAACAATTTCAGACTTTTTATTGTATTCTTTATTATCTTCAATGCAAATAGTTTTGTTCAGGCCCGTAACCAGGATTTTTCCAGGGGGGGAGGGTGCAATGAAGCGCGCCGCAGGGAAAATTTTTTTTTGGTTTTTTTAAAAAGCAATGCTTGGTTTGTTTTTACGGTTGTATATGGTTTTCTTTATTACATTGTCAATGTACGCTAAAGACTAACCTTTTTAACAAGTGTATTTAAGCTTTTAAGGGTTACATTTTAGTGTCTGAAACTTTTCAGTTAACATATACAATATACATAAAAAATAAATGAATGGTACTTTAGCTTTAGGAAAAAATTCATTATTTAAAATCAAGGCTTCTTGTCCCTCGGCCTCATCATGATATTATGAAGATGAATAAAAGATAAAATTTCTAATATTTTGTTTAAAAGAGTTTATTTATTGACATTGAGACATTGAGACGTTTTTAGTGAATTTTTGAGTACTCAAAAAAAACCTTCTACTTTGACTAAAAATGACAAATATCCTCGCTTAAAATAATGTTTTTGAAACTCCGAAAAATGGCTATTATATTCCAAAGAAATGGATGAATTTTTTCCTTATAACCAACTGTTCAAACTGTAACTAGATTTTAGAAAATTATGAGAAACAATTTCTTTTATATGGGCCTAGGGGGGGGGGTGAAAATTCGTCATTGCACCCCCCTTTCAGAAGAAAGGGGGGTGCACCTGCACCCTTGCATCCCCCCTGGTTACGGGCCTGGTTTTGTTCTATTATTAAGGACAAAGACAGCCATTCTGTCCTATTTCAAGACAAAGAAATCATTTTATTACACTTCAGGACAAAGACAATTTTTATGTCCTATTTCAGGACAAAGACAAGGACGGAAGAATAAGCTATGATGAATTCCGTGGCAAAAAGACTCAGAACGAAATCGCTTTCGAGGTATTTCTTTATATGCTTAATCACGGTGGACTTGGGTCAATTTGAATTCGAACCGCACCGCCTTCTTATACCAGCCTTACAGTGACAAGCATGTACCGGACAGACCTTATCCTATGTCGGTCCGGTTTTAACATTGATGGCGTGGCCAGACTTTTTACAGTACCCGGCCTATCAAAGACATTTATCGTGCATCGGTGTAAATTTGAATATCCGAGCTGGGCCAACCTTTGCAGTCCTACATTGGACTGTACCGCTAATTTATAATTACTAAAGCGGCAGCGGAGTGTGCTATTTGACCTACCCCACTAGCTTAGTTTAGTGTAGTTTGAAACGTTAAACTCTGTAACATCAAGCTTGTTATGTAATTGATCAGCCTAGGGCTACAATTTTAATATTAGATTACTTACTCTCTATAGGATGTAAAGTAAAAACTCAAGCATACAAGGTTGCAAAGTTATACCGGTAAAATAAACGAGGTTATACTAGAACAGGATTGTATGGAGTTAAATTATAGGTTTACAATAAGTCCACACTACACTACAGAGACTGTTAAGGAATTATATATTCTAGTTTTATCAATAAAACGACTTTTAAGGTTTATTGTAATTTCAATGGAAATTTCATTTCAAGACGATTTCCTGTAAACCTATATTTAATTAATAATGTTGAAGATTTCGTTTTTTATCTAGATTGATGCCGCAATTTTTCTAGAGAACCCACAATTTGAAATAATCCATTTTTAAAGAAAAATACATCAATAATCATTTATTCCTGATAAGACAAAACTTTAAACCACCTGTAGTTAATCGGACATTCCAGTTTCAACACAATATGGGTTTCTTTTTTAGTCTAAAAAACTAGTTTCAGACAAGCGTAAATACGCCCTAGATATGCTTCAACGGCGCCTCTGTCTCTTTGGCGCCTGGCGCCAGTGGAAGTATATAAGGTCAGTTAATTTGTGTGAACCGTTAGTTTCAACTTCACCTTGGACATATCATGAATAGTCTGGTAGGAATAATTTGTTATGATTTAGAGACAGTTGGGACCATAAAGCTGTGGAAAATGAAGACGACGTTTATTAGATGTTAATAAAAGCAAGTAGTTTAACCAGTAGCTTAAGAATCAACTTATCTATAACAGTGGTAATCGATAATATCAATACAATGAAAACGACTTTTTATTTAATTTCGATTTACAAGTAGACAAGTAATCCAAGAGAAGCTTTTTTAATTGACAGCTTATCCATGTTGTTTAACAGCTTGATATAAATCAAAAATAAACTTCTAAATCAGTCTTCATTGTATTGATATAATCGCCTACCACTACTTAAAATTGTAAATTAAGCAAAGTCGTCTTTCTTTTCTACAGCAATGGGAAGAAAGTGAAATAAGACCATTTATTATTTTTCAGTATTTAAATGAGAAACATTGCTAGAGATTATTTTTTTTATCTGTTATGACTTTGATTTATTTATCTCTGAATTTATTCAGTGGTGATCTAAACAGCGGACTTATTGACTAAATATATTATCTATATTTAAATAGAAATGCTGCAATAAAGTGTTGTTATTGGTTACTGTAAAAACATTTTCAATGTCTAGCATGCACCTTCTTCAGTTATAGTTATAATTCATACAGAATCTAAAGCGACATATTTATATGGAAATGAAAGAGATTTATTGATAATTATTCTGCTGTTTATTTATTATTATTGTATTTTAAAAGTTTATTTTTAATTAATTGGATCAAATGGAGAAATGATGTCTTCTTCTATTTTGATGATTTTATTCTACAAAGATATTCTTATAGTTTCTTTTATGTTTTATTACATTTATAATGTTTCTCTAATCTATGATTTATTTCTTTATTCCAGATTCTTGTCTCAGCAGCCCTATCCTGCGTATCCTCGGTTCCCCTGGATGCAGGATATGGGATTCCTGTAGCTCCTGTTCTTCAAACACATGTTTTTCACAATGATCCAGTTGTGCATGCAGCTCCTGTTGTCCATTCAGCTCCTTTTTTCACAGTTCCCCAGGAACACTTCCCTGTTCAGATCATTCACTCCGCCCCTGCATCTGTAGTTCACTCAGCCCCAGTACCTGTAATTCATTCAGTGCCAACCCCAGTTGCTATCCCTTCTATTCCTTCCAGTCAGTTCCATGCTCAAGATGAGTTTGGCCAGCACAGCTTTGGATATCAGAATGAGAATTCAGCCCGTGTGGAATCTAAGGATGCCCTGGGTGTCACCAGAGGTAGCTACCAGTATGTTGATGCCAACGGTGTTCTCCAAACCACCACCTACATTGCTGATCCCATAAACGGGTTTAGAGTTGCTGCCACAAACATCCCTGTAGCTGTTGCTAACCCTGCCGTTGCTATCCAAGAAGCTGTTATGGAGACCCCTGAAGTTGCTGCTGCAAGAGCTGAACACTTAGCAGCTCATGCTGAAGCTGTTGCAACTCATGCTCTGGCTGAGAGGAAGAGACGAAATGCTGAACCTATTGAAGCCACATACGGATTACCATCCGCACCTGTCCTTGTTCACTCTGTTCCTACCCAATTTGTACACGCTGCACCTTTCCTCCAATCTGCTCCCTTAGTTCATGCTACTCAGCCAGTTTCCTTTTTCCACAATGCTCCTGCACCCCTGATCCATAGTGCACCTGCTCCTATCCAGGTAGTCCAATCTGCCCCTATTCACTCTGTATCTAGCCCTGTGATTGTATCAGCTCCTGCTCCCTTTTCAACCCCAGTTGCTCTCCCATCTATTCCCTCCAGTCAGTTCCATGCTCAAGATGAGTTTGGTCAGCACAGCTTTGGATATCAGAACGAGAACTCTGCTAGAGCAGAATCCAAGGATGCCTTTGGTGTCACCAGAGGTAGCTACCAGTATGTTGACGCTAATGGTGTTCTCCAGACCACCACCTACATTGCTGATCCCGTCAACGGATTCAGAGTTGCTGCCACAAACATCCCTGTAGCTGTTGCCAACCCTGCTGTTGCTATCCAAGAAGCTGTTATGGAGACCCCTGAAGTTGCTGCTGCAAGAGCTGAACACTTAGCTGCTCATGCTGAAGCTATTACTCAAGGAGCTGCTGAAGCATAAGAATCAGTTTTAATCTACCACCATCTTGTTTCCTATAGGCCTTTTTGGTTTTTACAACCTAGTTGGCGTTTTGTTGCCCAAGAGAGTTCATAGACATCCCCCTAGCTTGGCTCAAAGCAGAAGTTAGTAGTTTGAACTAACGTGAAGTTGAACATTTATAAAGCATCTTTATTTGTATATTTATTGACATATCATCTATGTGTAGAAATATAACTTCTATATACTAAAACAATTCATTCATATGTATGTTGATTATAGCCGGCCAAACGGTTGGACCGAATGGCCTGACATTTTTTGTGGACACTCATGGGTAGCCGGGGGGTGTTATAGGTATAAAAAAATTTAATATTTTTTTCATTTTTTCTTCCACAGGCAACGCCGGGCCTTCATCTAGTTTATATAATAATTGATATGAATCTTTATTTTTACTGCTAAACCAGATATTCTTTTCATTATATTTGTAACTCAGAGCGTGGATTTTTTAATTAGCACAAAGGAAGTTTCTCTCATTTGATAAACGTTCCAGATCCTTGTAGGGGTGTCATTTGCATCAAATCAATGAAAAGACGATATTTGCGCCATATTCCATTATGCAGTCACGGAATTGTATCGTCTCATATCACCCAGACGAACCACTGGTCCTGTCATAGCACCATCATAAGGGGACATCAGGTCTTGGCTTATGGCTGGCCTAACCCGCACACTTCCATACCTAGCAGATAGATTTTATCAATATGGTTTCCATTTTATTTTGATCTTTAAATTTTGCCAACTTTTGAATAACAACTAATTATTCAATAATAACTTACTCCTGAGGTGATTTGTTTAACTATTCCATGAGTTAAGTAAAAAATATACTACTCTACAGTGAAACCCAATAAACTTTGGAATTAGATGATGACTTTTATGACTTTGAAAAGTTCAATGAATATGAGTCACAACATTTGTTCAGATGTAAATAGACCCCATTAAATTAATATATGTTTTAATAAGTTACTATTATTCTATTAGTGACAACGTTAATACGCTTAAGTATCTCGAAAATGTCGTCTTCATATTCCACATTTTTCTGGTTCTCAATGTATAACAAAAAATTTATGGGGCGGTAAAGCTTAAAGCTAAGGTCTGATGACACTTCAAAGTCGACCCTGTCACACTTGTTGATGTATAATATGTCTACCTGGCAGACTGAGTATATCTTCCCTTGTACTCAGTTTTCTCTCCAAACTTACCCTCAGCCAGTTTCAAGTTGTTTAAACCAGTATACCTAAACCATTATTATATAGGATACCTAAACCATCATTATATTCACAAAAAGATCGGTTTTGTAAATTAGAACTTCGTAACATTTAATTTTCTAAAGATTTTTGACATTTGAAAAAAGCATATTTTTAAAAAACATATGTCGTCGATGCTCGTTAACAATTAGGAGCGGTCGTTAACAGTAATTAAAGAGCGTCTAAAACCAAAACGATCGGCTGTTATAACGAAACAACTCATAAAAAATAGCACTTCATTTTTAATTAAAAACGATTGTTTTCAAAAACAACTGTTATAAAAGTTTTTGTTAATGTTCGATTTTTCTACGTCTTAAACAAAACGATCAGGGTTCGTTTTTCAGAGGAGTGAAATCGGTCCTCTAAGCATTATTCACAAGGTCTCCCATAAAACCTCTAAATATCAATTAGAGTTTTTTCAATCTAACTCATGCTGTCGAGGAGGGTTAAAAACACGAACAAATTTTTACAACAATAAAATAGATAAATAATCTGTGTTTCATTTATCAAATAAATATCTATTAGAATGTTTTTTTAATGCTTTTTTTGAGATTTCTGTTTATTTCCGTCTTTTTTTCTGCTGCTGTACAATAGTCAATCCGCAATTGAAAATTATTTATTTTCAGAAGCAAAAAAATATCCGTTGCTTGTACCCCTAACCTGTCCTAGCCCCGGCGATCGGCCCCAAAGGACTAGACTAATAAATTGATCAATATTGAACCTGATGGGCTGTTCAATCTGCATTCCCTTATAATATTCATGGTTCTCTGTATCATGACTAAAATAAATAGATAATCATAAATGTTTATTTCTCAGGTTTAATTTAATCTTTTAAATTAAGTTTCCGCGTAAACTTTTCTTCTTTTAATTCAATTTTCGCATTTGGATTTTTCCAAGCCTAACATTTTCGGTCAAAATGTGAACTTATTGATTTGACTTTGTGACCTCGCAGATCCTCTAGTTTTAATGCTTGTAGTTGCATTATGCATATAAAAACTTAAACCTATCTTATTCTACTCAATAACTCTTCAGAAAGATTTTAGTTTGACATGAAGAGAATTAAGCCTTAGCTACTAACTCATATTTTCTAACCCCTTTCTATTGATGTATAAACCTGTGATATTTTAAACTTAGATTATTTGATCGAACAGGATTCATAGTTTGAAAGGGTCTACGACAAAGATTTGAAAATTTGAATTTGTGGCAAGGACATACTTTACCTTTATTAAGGTTGAAGTGACAAAGAAAAATCTAAATTGGAAAAAATTGTTTATCATTTTTCGGAGTTTTGGTGCAAAAATAGATGCTAAAGATAAAATATAGACAAAACAAGAAAAGCATGTTATTAATTGATTACGTTTAAGGAAAAAGTCGTTGTATATATCACTAAAATGAAGACGACTTCCAATTTCAATTTTTATTTCTACCAATCTATCAAACAGCATGGATATACGTAAACATGGAAACAAATAGAGGTTGTAAATTAAAAGTTTCTCTTTGTTAACTTGTAAACTTGTAAAATAGAAAAAGCTTGATAGAAATCAAAACATGAATAGAAAAGTCCTCTTCATTGTATTGATATAAACACCGAATACTGTTCCAAAAAAAACTATCTACTCATAAAACGCTAACAGATAAAATCAATATCATAATATTAATAATACCTAAAATTTAATCCTTGATATTCAAGATGAGACTCCCGAGCAAGTTTACTTAGATAATATAGAAATTAAGAGATACAGATACCTACATGAGGAACGAAAAAGAAACAAACAATTTTATGAAGCTAAAGCTAGGGACAAAATTAAATCTGAAAAGGCTTAAACCTACTCAATAAAGAGAAAATGTCTGTCCAAAAACTCTTTATCACTGCAGCTAACAAAAAAAAAATGTTATTTTGTAAATTAAAAAAAAAACTAACCTTGTCAGTTGTTTCTGTGTTTCCATTGATTTTACCAGGAAATGTTCTAAACAATCAATTTTTATTAAATTCCAATTGATGCATTTATAATCTGTAACATATAAGATAATTTTGTCATCAGTGAGACATACACAACTGTTGAATAGAAAGACGACATAAAGCAAATAATTTTATATTCAAAAGTCAAATCTGTTGATACACTACCCAAATGCTATATTTAGTGTTTATCGTGCTCTTTATAAAATCAAATCTTGGGTCATTTTTCTATTCCACAGTTTTTTGGTTATCGCCAATTACTGTGCAATCAAGAGGAATAAGATGGAAAAAATGCTAGGAAAGCTGTTTTTTAGAATGGTTAAATTCCTGATTTATTAACTATTCTGCCATCCATTAACTTCAGATTACCGCTTTTACTTCGATACTGAACAAAATTTATGCATAAGTTGAAAAGTTTGTTAAAGTTTTAAACTCCATTTCAGCAGTTTTTCTTCATAGTGTAATTGTTAATATAAGATTATCTACTTGTTTATAACATATAAGTACCTAATAATTTACCTAATAATTTTTAAATGTTTTTAACACAAATTTACTTAAGTAATTAATAACTTACTTAAGTATTTGCTAATTTTATTTTACCTTTTCAGGCCTGTCAAACTTCATATCTTTCATGTATTTTCCATTCTCAGTGCCTCCCTCAAAGTCTAAAAAGATTAAACATTTTTAGAATAATTTCACATTTTTTTTAAAAATTGAATAAAAATCCAAATCCAAATTTTCGTAAAATCTAAAAAACAAGGGAAAAAATTATTATTTTTCGATTTTAACAAAAATAAACATGCAAAATATAATCATTTTCTAATTTTCGTTAATTAATTGTAACAAACCAAAATTAGCTATTTCTTAGCTTTTATTATTGAAAAGTATGCAAAAAATAAACTCATTTTTACAATTTTTTTATAATAACAAAAAAAACCAACATTTAACATTTTTGCAAGTTTTTGATCAAACATAATAACCAAAATTGAAAAAAATAAAAAAAATATTATTTTTCGAAATTTTAGGATATTTGAAAAATACATAATATAAAGTTTTTACAGTAAATTTATATGAATTGAATAAAAAAATAACCTAATCCATTTGCTTTAATGTAATCTGATCGTTTCATATTATCAGCTCGTCTTCCGTATTTTGCACTACAAATATCATGTATATTTATAACATATGTACCGGAAAAGGGCATCTTAAAAATGTTACAACTAAGTTGATATATCTATCTATCGTATCTACAAAATATTTCCGATATAAAAGTTAAACAAAATCTTCTAAATAGAAATTATATTTATGTATGTCAGTTTTGAAATTTTTAACTATTTTCTTTAAAAGGAACATTAAATAAAGAATTTACAAAACTTTAAACGTGAAAAAAACTTGTCTTTTTTATATATATCTGTACTCTCTTTGAATTTCAAATATAGAAATTAAGAGATACAGATACCTACATGAGGATGAAACTTCATAGACGACTGTACAGAATATCATACTGTCTTTTTGAATCTTCAAATTTTAAGAGCTTCAGGTCGTCACCCTTTGTGGGTAACCCTGTCATATGGGAAAAAATGCGACTTGATACGACAGGGTTAATTCTATATTTATATGTTTTGAAATAATGTTCTCTGACAGCTTTACACTTGTATCTATCTTATTAAAATTCATAAAAATATACCGTTATATAAGTAATATAAATATGTAATTGTAAGCTTAATATTTAGTGACCCTCTATGCAATTGATGGCTTTGCCCGATTCAAAAAGGAACTCGTAAAAGTTTTTTTCTGATCAAGTAATACGATGTTAATGTGTACAATTTTACCTTTTAAGAGTTAAGAGCTGAGAACTTTAGAATGGTATATCAGGATTAATGCTTAATCCTCTCTTTTTGCTAATCTCGAGACTAACATAATCTCGAGATTATGTAGTCTCGAGATTTATTATTTAGATCAACAAATTTGATTCTAGGAACGCCGGATTTGTTCGTTTTCTTGACTGGAATGGCCTTCACTTAATATCTTAACCATTTATTAATTACTACTTTAGTTAAATTAGTTTTAAAAATCTCAAACTTATTATCACACATTTTTTTACCAACCAATTTACAAAATGGCGGACAACGAAATCTCCATTTGCTAGAAATTGCGGTGGTCTCTTATTGGATTGAATTTATTTTCAAGGCTGTCATTGGTCAATACTATTTACGTACTATATTCCTGCACTCTCATTGGAGAAAACAATGTATGGATATCCAAAGAGAGAGAAAAATAGTGGATAAAGGACTAAAATTAAAAGTTTTCACAGAGGATATTCGGATTAAGTAGTTGGGATTAAAGGTTATTCATTTTAAAGTTCCCAGCTCAGAGTCATTGTTCTTAGAGTTTCATTATTTATGGATAGCCCTGTTTTTACGCAGTATTAAAACAAGGTTGAAAGAAAGGAAACTGGAATATGTTTTCATGGAAACAAAGTTTGACCAATGAATTAGCAATGAATAATATAAGCGTAAACATTTAATAAAATTCTGTCTGTAATTCGAAAAATTCAACTTATGGGTAGAATCCTAATTAAATAAAAAGGACATTATAAAAATTGATTTTTTCGATATATTATAACACCAGGTTAATGATTCACAAAATTGTGAAATATGTTTTTTTTACAAAACAATTTGACGGAAATTCAATAATATATAATATACATTATAAACATACAGATATATTTCTACCTGTATTGTTCGTTAGTTTCTGAATCTCCAGCAATACGACCATCTAGGGGCTAAATATTTTTAAATTATTACAACTAGCTGAAATGCCAGGCGTTGCCCGTGGAATTTGAAAACAATCTAATTTGGAAACAATTTTATTCAAGACGTATCTATCCAGAGATGGAATTTAAAGAATTTGAGCCGCGGTTTAAATCTGCTAAAACCCGGTTTAAATTAAGCGCCGGCTTAGATCTTGAAACATTTTATACAATTTTAAGTGGAACTAACCTTATTTAAGCTTCGGCTTAAATTTAAACCGCCGCTCAAATTCTTTAAATTCGGCCACATGTCTTACTCGGTAGCAAGATCAAACAGAACCAACCTCCAATTCTAAATACCACACAGGCTATTTCTCAACCAGGCTTAACTCTCTGGTTCTAACACACAGTCCAAAATCTCAACCAGGCTTCACTCCCTAGGTCTGAAAGCCACACAGGCAATTTCTCAACCATAATTAACTGCCTGATTCTAAAGGACACTGCACAGTCTGAATCTCAGACTCTATATTCAACCAGGACGAGCTCTATATGTCACACAGGGACACAAGCATCCAATAATATAGGACTCAAGCTTAGACTCTACACTCAACCAGGACCGGCTCTAAATGCCACACAGGGACACAAGCATCCAATAGTATATGACTAACTCTGAGGCTTGTACTCAAGCAGGATTTCATCTTGTATAATTCAAAAAGGATCCAAGCTACCTTTCAATCTATATTCGATTCAATGCTAAATCAACTAGCAAAAATCTCCGCTCATATGTTTCAACGAGAACCAAAGCTGTCTTTCAAGCTTACTTAGGCTTCTGATAACGTAATTAAAAGCAGAGCCTCAATCAACTAACTTTATTCAATTAGCTTATTTTACAAAGTTAACAGAAAATGACGTAATTCAATTCCAACATTAGCAATGTACAACGTGATGCAATTTTACCGAATATCATGTTTGCCCACTCAGTTAAATACTTCCGGTTCTCAGATCCTGTACATATACACCCTGTAAATAAAGAATAAAACATGCTTTAAAAGAAACACCCTGTAAATATAGAATAGCTTTCCTTACTTAAAAACAACCCGTTAAATACAGTAATAAATCAACAATATAGATACTTATTAATATCAATATCCATGTAACAAAACCAAATTATTCTGTTTTTAAGACACAGGTTACGTTAGTTTTTGGTGGGTTATGCAGTAATTTGCAGTACACCGACCAAAGATATACAAGCGTTAAGTGGAGAGTTTGACGCTTATTTTCAAGAATGATTCACGTTTTTATAATGAAAACTTTTATTAAAAAGCAGCTAAAAGTTAATTATCTAAAATCAAAAATCAACCTTCTTTAAAATCAAGTCCATTATACTCCAAATTGGATTCTCTAGCCTGTCCTCTAACCAACACTCTTTTTCCATCCTAAAATGAATTGAATCATAAAATCAAACTTTTAGTAGTAGATTAAACTAATTATTTATTCGACTCTGGTTGCAAAGATATAAAGCTTCGACTTGAATTTGTTCGATTGAATTCGATGCACTTATTTGACATTAAATCAATTATTGACTTAATTAGTTTTGTTTAATCAGTAGATTTAGATCAAACATAGAATGGTCGGTTTGAAAAAGCAAGCAACATCAATTGACTATATGATACAGGGTGGTTATTTAAAAAAACGCGGTCAAAGGTTTAATTTTAGGAGTATGCTAAGAGTTCAAATAAGAAACCGTTCCAGCAAAACATTATTTAAAGAATCAGGATTTAAAAAGAGCCTCATCCTTAAAGGGAGTGACCGGCAATGTATGGTGGTTGAACTGAATTTGTAGTATTGTTGACAAATTTTCTAGGATTTATTTGAGACATATAAAACGTTTCTACGACGTATGTTTACTAAGTTTGAACTTGGGTGGGTACGTTTTCCAAATCGTTTTTTTTTATAATTAAATAACGACGACAAAAAATGTAAACAAAATTCTACAGTAAACTAATAAGTTGTTTCGGCACAGGTTGAGAAAATAAAAATTAACTCTTATCATCGAACATAAGTAATCTTATATAATTATTAGTTTCTATAATTTCTCATTATTCACAAAGATTATCTTAAAATTTTATTGAAAAGACGACATATTAAGAATTTGTAGAAATCTGCGAACAAATTTATGAAAACAAAAAATAATTGATTCTAAAATTGATTTATTGACAAATTTCTTTTGGGAATATGTTCCTAACCATTTAATTAGTTTACTGTATAAATTTTACTTTATTTTTCCTCGTCGTTATTTAATATTTAAAACCAATTCTGAAAACGTACCAACTCAGGAATTATACATCTTGGAAACGTTTAATATGTCTCAAATAAATCCTAAAAAGATTTTCTAGAATACTATACACTCAGTTCAACCACCATACATTGCCGATCACTCCTTGAAAAAAAATATTGTTGTCGCGATTTTTCTTATCAATGAATTAATCAAGGAATTAATACCCTAATCAAGTTATATTATATGATAAATGAATAGCTTCCAGTGGAATTCGTCCAATGGGTTATTTAGTTCTGTTTCCAAGGTGACTCAGCACCCGCTTGTGGTGGGGAGGGGGGCCTGTGTACGCCTCTGAATTACCTTCTCAATATAATGGTCCTGGGTTTCTGATTTTCCCACAGCCCGTCCATTCCTAGGAATATTATCCTCCTTCTTAACTCCTCTTTCTCTTTTCCCAATGTCATACTCCTGCAAATAAAAATAGATACAGGGTGTCCCGAAAAACATGACAGTTGGTTAATAGCATTTAATTTTGATAATTTTGATACTTCACATAATAGTTTCCTATGACCAGAATATTTCATTTTTTTTTTATGTGAAAAATGGATCCCATGGTCGGCTGTGACATCTTTCTGGTTCTTGGAAATAACTTTACCTTATGATTCTTTGGTTTAAACTATGTTAAAAATTTGAAGTACGGAGATTACAACTGTATTATTAGGAATGAATACAATAAACACATCTTCAAACTATTCCAACCTGAAATCTGCCGTGTTCTGTTCCCTTGGCAAAATCCAATCCATCATACTGAAAACATTTTAGAATAAAATTCCATTGTAAAATGTAATAGATGTGTGAGATGTATAATTTGTATAAAATGTATTAGATGTGTAAGATTTATAATAAATGATGTATAAGATGTATAAAATGTATTAGATGTGTAAGATTTATAATAAATGATGTATAATATGTATAAAATGTAATAGATGTGTAAGATGTATATGATGTTTAAGATGTATAAAATGTATTAGATGTGTAAGATTTATAATATTTGATGTTTAAGATGTATAAAATGTAATAGATGTGTGAGATGTTTAATATATGATGTTTAAGATGTATAAAATGTATTAGATGTATAATATATGATGTTTAATATGTATAAAATGTATTAGATGTGTATGATTTATAATTTATGATGTTTAAGATGTATAAAATGTATTAGATGTGTAAGGTTTATAATAAATGATGTATGATATGTATAAAATGTAATAGATGTGTAAGATGTATATGATGTTTAAGATATATAAGATGTATAAGATGAGAATCTGAAGTCCTAGGACAAAATGTCACTGGAAATAAAGTCCTGAGTTTAGATTCCTGAGAATTTTTTTCCTAAAATAATATAGGGGGTGATAATAAAGTCTCAGGAAATAAGATCACAGGAATTAAAGCCCTGAAAAAAAAATAATCTAAAAAAACAAAAAAGTTGTAAGTCTTGAGAAAATGAGATCAAGTCTTAGAGGTTTTCTTAGAAAGGACTTTTCTCCTATGCATCTTCATATTGAATGTAGCCAGGGGTGTTTTTATTGTCAAGTCCCTTTTTTCAATGGTTGTAAATATCCTTTGTTTCGATGCATTTTCCTCTAAAAGAGGACTTTTTTCCGGGGACTATTTTGTATAAAATCGTCCTGGAACCAGAAAAAAGTCTTTGAAAATAAATTCTCAAATTGATACTAATTTATTTCCAGAGAATTTGTTTAATGCCTTTTTTTCACGGGACTTTTTTAGTGCCAAAATTTAGGGCTTTATTTCCGAAAGAAGTTTTTTTTGGCAGTTAACATATGATGTATAAGATATATAAGATATATAAAATGTATACGATGAATAAGATGTATAAGATATATAAGATATATAAAATGTATACGATGAATAAGATGTATAAGATATATAAGATATATAAAATGTATACGATGAATAAGATGTATAAGATATATAAGATATATAAAATGTATACGATGNACAATATGTACGATACGATTAGAACACTTGTCAATCTACATCCAGTCAATTTACATTTTTGTCAACTTTATATATTGTCAATTTACTTATTGATCTTAACTAAAAATTCCATCTTCTATCTTTGATGCCCAAATAAAAAATTGGACGAAAAATATGTTTCGCTTGTTTTTTTTGTTTTGTTTTTTTAAATGTCTGCGTTACTGGGCGAAGCAAGCGGAATTTATTCAAGTGTAGCCGAAATGATGATATCTAGTCCTAATAGGTTTACAATTGCTGTTAAATCATGAATATAAGGTAAAATACAGTTTGAATTCCTTACAGTCTTTGAAATCTTGTCCTTTGTGGGTAACCCTGTATGTTCAAAATCCATATCGTTCATTTTTTCAATCGTAAAAAAAATGATTTTGTTCGTTCTCAAAATATCGTAAATTTTTGAACTTTTTCGTTCGTTTTCTCACTGAGCGATCGTTAAGTGAAATCGTTAATTCAATAAAATATTGCAGAACAAAAACAATAGATTTTTAAAAGTTTGTTTGAAAAAATTATTCGTTCAGTAAAAAAACAATAATTTTATAAAAATTTTGAATTAAAACTCTTTCGGAAAAATATCGGTTTTTAAGTTCCTTTGAACAAACAATTTGAAATCGTTGATTTTTTGTTCGTTTTAAAATAACGATAGTTTTGTTCAGCTTTCTGAAGATTCAAAGTTGTTCGTCAATCGTTATTTTTTTCTGAACGACATGTCACGATCAATGTCGTTCGCATTCAAAAATGTTGTCTGTTCACAAAAACGATTCCAATCTCTACTTTTGTATTTTATACTTTTTTAATTTTTGGCTGAAACCGTTTGACGGAGTTTTTTTCGACGTACACTGTGCACTGTAAACTCCGGTTCATTTCAAGAAACCGGCCGACTTTTAATCAACTAGACCCATGTCTGTCCAGTACAATTACAGACTATGTGAGGGAAAAGGGGACTACAGTACCCCAGATGAATGATCCACTTCTAAGTGCAATATATATGTGTGGAGTTTACAGAGTATACAGTTTTGACATCCTTTTGTCGGGTCCGACTTAAATTGTTCTACCTCAAAATGGTTTGATGGTTTTATAGGTTGACCCCTCTCCACATCTTTAGGTACATAGGTCAGCTTGGATATAGAGGTCCCATCTATACCTCTCTCCTAAAATAAACAAGGATTTCACAATTTCATGATGACAAGGCCTGATTCACAATGGTACTCTTAAAAGCTTTGTCTGATTAGGTATGAATTTGATATCAATATTTATAATTTTGAAAACTGATTATTTTCGAATGTGGTTTATTTACTAAAGCTTTTTCAGAAGGTAAAAGCTTTTAATGCTCGTGGGGGGGGGGGGATCGATCAGATAAAGGTTTAAAGGGTAACGTTGTTAATCAGGCATTGCCATCTTTGCATTGAGAGTCATTTGAAATTACGCTTACAGTCCCTTTAAGTGGAAAGTTAGACTTTGCATGTGTTTCTTTTCCCAAAATATTGGGTAAAATAAATATTCTTTAATTCTTTGAAAAATTCTTACAAAATGTACATAAAAAGATAAGTTAGAAAGGAGTTTGACCTGTTCTAGATTATCTGATGGTTTTCTGTATGTTTCCCTTCCTCCCTCCTTAGCAACATATAGGTCGTCATACTCAGATGGGTTCCATTGACTCCTTAACATCGAGTAGTTATTAGCTTCCTAACATCGGGTAGTTATTAGCTCCCTAACATCGAGTAGTTATTAGCACCCTAACATCGAGTAGTTATTAGCCTAACATCGAGTCAATAGTAGTTTTTTCCTAAACATCGAGTAAAAATTTACCCTAACATCGAGTAGTTATTAGCTCCCTAACATCGAGTAGTTATTAGCACCCTAACATCGAGTAGTTATTAGCTACCTAACATCGAGTCAATAGTAGTTTTTTCCTAAACATCGAGTAAAAATTTACTCCTAAACATCGAGTAGTTGTTGACTTTTTAACATCGAGTAGATTTTGAAAATCCTAAAGCTATTAAACGAAGCTTTTTGGGGACTGTTTCTAACTTTAACAAACGTGCAGCTTTTAGATCTATTTCGAATTGTAAATAAGCGTTCTAAAAAATAATTTTATTGGTTATTTTTATACTTTAAATTAGCAATTAAACGACGCCCCCCCCCCCCGGGGTAAAGGGGGTAAATGGGATTTCTAAAACTTTTTCTAGAACAATGGTGAGTGTGTCGGCTAAACCATAGTAATGATTTATTAATCAAACCCGGACATAATTAATGAACAGGCGTTAAACTATATATTTCTTATAAATAAATATTCTTTTCAGGTATTTATAATTCTTAAAAAGAATTGTTAAATTTTTTTGTATTTATCAAAATTACTTTTCTTGCTACATCATGATTTATTCTCCTTACTACTCCTACTCCTACTCCTACTCCTACTCCTACTCCTACTCCTACTCCTACTCCTACTCCTACTCCTACTCCAACTCCTACTCCTACTCCTACCTGGATGGTACTCCTAAGGCTGAGGGGCGTCTATAAGGATTTCTCCGATCATAAATACTTCGTGCTCTGAATTATTTAAAGAATTTTTTTTTAATGTCTTTTTGCAGATATTTATACTTTCAGATTTCTATAAATAGGAGTTTTGTAAACACAATTTTTTTAGCATCTCTGTTAAAATATAAACATCGAAAACTGCTTACAATTAATTTTAGAAACACTTTTTGTAATTTAACAACTCAAAGAAGTTTCGTTTCTTAATTCTATGTTTATTGGGAACCCTGCTTACTCCATTTTGTACAGAGGTGTAGTGCAGTTTCTAGGAGAAACAACCTCAGGCTAAGTTTGTTTATTTACCGCCCGAAAACTGTACTGCACTTTTTGTAAACAAAGCTATGTACAGTGAGCACCAAAAATCAATGGAATAGGAAGACGACTTTTAGACTCAAGTTATGACTAATAATTAAATAGTTTATCGAATATGATACACAGCAATATTGCAATGTCAACAGACCCTAAATAAGTCATTTAATAAGTCAATATTAAAACTATTTGCTTTGCAACAACATCAAATACACTTTTATATTGATATAATGTCGTCTTCCTTTTCACAGTTTTCTGGTTCTCACTGTAAGGGTGTCCAAAATTTAAAAGTTTGCATGAATTTATAGTTCATTAAAATTACCCATATTCTGTTTTTGTTTCGGCCATTATTTTAGCTCTTTATTATAAAACATTATTTCTGAAAAGTAACAAATAGAATAATTTCAAGAGAAAAATAAATACTAATGACATGAAATCAGTGAAGGAAAATTATAAACTAAAATACGGTGGTAGGCAAATATATCAATTGAATGGAGACGACTTTTTTTTAAGTTTTAATTTTTAACAAGCTTTTTTTGAATTTCAAGTTTACAAGTAAATAAAGTAAAGCTTGTTTTAATTGACAGTTTCTCTTTGCTTCCATGTTTTAGTGTATCCATGTTGTTTAAAAACTTAATTTAAATCAAAATTGAAATCGAAATTCATCTTCAAATTATTTTCCTAATTTTGCCCTTTTTTTCCAGAAAAAAAGTTTTTATAGATTTAATTGGTTACAATTACAAATTTTTGCTTTGTTAATTATCTCAGAGTAAGATGTGTATAATAAACCAGTGCAAGGTTTATGCACTTTAGTTCATCATGATATCATATCAAGATATACACATTAAACCAACCAACTTTCAGATTTGGGTTATTGTGTACATTCTTAGGAGTTAAGATAAGCTACAAAGGGAGAGGATTAAAGGGAGTGTTTGCGAAAAATGAAAGGGGTTATAAGCTTAATGCGATAAAAAAGCGCTTTTGATCGCTACTAATCTTACTTCTATCTGTTGCGTCTAAAAGGAGAAAAGCGAATAAGACTCTCAAATATATAAGACTCAATCAATCTTATTTTAAAAGTTTTAGTGGTCTTTACAGTCTCATCCTTTGTGGTATCCATGTACCTTCAAATTTGGAGAAATCGAAAGATAAGTTAATTGGTTTATATGCACTTTTTTTAAAGTGTGCTATTAAAAATCTTTGATGATTGATCTAAAACTTAGTATATAAAATTTTAAACAGAGAGAGAGAGAGAGAGAGAGAGAGAGAGAGAGAGAGATAGAGAGATATATATATATATATATATTAGGATGCTACACACTCATTTTCTATTTTAATTGTAAACATATTCATAGATTTCATAAAAAAATATCCTCCATTGCAAAGAGAATAAGTTTAACTCGTGTTTTAAAAGTTTCCTGCTCCGTTATGGTTGTTGTCTAGTAACAGTATTAAACTGAACAATAAAAGAATACGCCACTCGGGTTCCCAGAGTCTATGCATTCTTAATCAAATCAGAACTTTCCAGGCCAATCAGGAGGTTGCACTTTTAATCCACAGGGTGGAGGCAATTTTTATTCACAGGGAGGTGGCAATTTAAGTTCACAGGTTGCAACTTTTATTTACAAGAAGGTTGCAATTGTAATTTATATATATGTTGCAATATAAGTCCAAATTAAGGTTCAAATATTAATAAAAGGAAAGGTCGCAGTTTTTTATTTAACAGGAGATGTGCTCTTATATTCTGTGAGGCTGTAGTTTTAATTCGAACATAAATTACTTTTTTAATCTGAAGGGAAGATGTAATATTTTCAAACTTCATTATCAGAGAGGTGGCAACATCCATTCTCTGAAAGGTTGTAGGTGTTTATACACAGGGAGATGGCAACTTTTATACACAGGGAGATGGCAACTTTTATACACAGGTAGGATTAACTTTTTAACAGATAATACCTAAACATCAAAGGATCACTCAAAATCTAATTATTGCACTCGTGAAAAAAAGATAACAAAGTTGGGTATATATGGGTTACCCAGAACAAACGAAACTTCTACTTCTACTTCATTTAGTTCATAACTTCATAGTTCCATGTAGCTGTTCCTCTTTCCTTTTTGTCCTTCCTCAAATGATTAAACTTCCCAATAAAAGGCTAAATCTTCAGATTGTTACACTTAAAATGTTTCAGGTCGTTATTTCAAAGTCTCGTGTTACAGAGATCAAATACAGTTCCCAGTCTGCACCGGTGGGTCATGTATGTTTTTAGATTAATACAAATATTAAAAACTAGAATATTTTATTTAATAATAAAATATATTCAGACCATTGTTCACTATGGGACTCTGCTTTCCCTTATGTTACTAACCTACCTTCATAATATTCTCATACACTCATGTAAATATAAAAGGAATATTGTGGAAACACAAGCAAACTAATGTGGAAACTTTAGACTACATATCGTCTATAAAACCCATTTTTAAAACTAAGAATGTCCTTATCATAGATAAATAAATAAACATAGATAGCTTATGTACGCAAAATCTCCAATAATTGTACAGTCCGCGAACTCATACTTCTAGGGGTCAAAGTGTACTTCAATGATAAGGGGGGTGGTTTGGTGTTTTAATGGATTTCATAGAATAGAATGTAAAACAACTCCGGGAATGGAACTATTTGAACAACAATATTTCACTAAGCAATATATCATATTGACGAGAACTTAAGAAGGACATGAGAAGGACTAAACTAACTTAAATTTCTCTCTACAGAACTCATGTACACCACAAGCAATGACATAAGAACAGCCAATGTTCACAACCGACCTAGTTAATCTATATAATAGGAATATCTTTAAAATATCTCTGTACATTTGTATCTTTCAAGATGAAAAATATCGTCTTATGCGCAATCTATCTTTATCTATGGTCATTATATAGGCATTGGAAAAACATATGATATTTTTATGATAAAAATCTTTGCTCTTACATATAAATATAGGTAAAATAGGCCCAAAAAAAAACCAATTTTTTTCAATATTCAAAAAGTGTTTTTTTATTTNATCCAACCTTGAAAAGTTCACACTTTTAATATTTATTACTTTAATGACCTAAATGCGCAATGATATATGAAGTTGTTCCCCCCTTCAGCATGTAGAAACTAGTTTTCCAAAAGGGGAATACCCGACCACTTTAATGACGTAGATAGAACTTTATGCATGCTTCACGGCCATGTTTCGCCTGAGTTAAGCTCGTATAACTATCTAAAACCCTCCTGAAAAAAGGACTGTTCACGAAGCGTAAGGCTCTGAAGGAGCCAACATATTCTCATTAATTAAATCGTTCTTAAATAAATAAATGTTTTGTTGTCGTCTTACATTTTTTTTGTTTTTAAAATGTCGGTGTCAGGATTTTGTAATTGTTTATTTTATAACTGTGTCCTGAAAATGTGTTTACCAAATTGCAAATTTCAAAATACTACATCACACTATTTAGCAAAAAAATGTTTTTAAAAAATTGCTCCAAATATGACAGTACATTTATATATTTATATATACAATACATTTTTTGTATTCAAGAAAAACGTAAAATATGCAGATTTCCTTTACAAGCAGACGTCTATGCAAAAACTATGCAAATTTTCTTTGCAAAAATTGTGCAATCTGAGCTGGCAACGTTTTTGTCGGACAATCATAATCCCCATCGCTTGATCTCGATATCTACCATAAGCACTTTTAATTTGAGGCTCTAAATGAAAAAATTTACCTGTCCAATATCCAAAAATCAAAAATTATCCGTGTGAATGTTGCTAAAACCAAAGTAATTACTAAGGCCGGTTTTTAATATTTTTTTGTTCAAATCCGTTTTTATAAAAGAAAAAAAGACGACAATCATTTTCCAGTGTTTTGGTTTTGCTAGACAGTAGTCAACGTGTCATCTAAATACAAATAAAAAATATCAAAATAAAAAAGGCGCGAATGTTTTTGGAAGTCTAGTTTTATAATTATGTCTATTATTGTTGAAACATTTGTGTACAAAAACGGTATGTTATAGGATTATACTAATATTCACTTAACTGAGAATTTTGCAAAAAACATTGAATTAAAAATATCTTTCATAACTCACACACTTCATATGTATTTTCCTCCAAGCTTAAACTTTACTTTTACTTATTTTTTATAAAATACCTATAATAGTCAAATAACCATATATTTACAGTCTATAATCCCATACTTAAATCTAAAGTATTTGGAGGGATTAAAAATTGAAACAAGTCGAGAAACTGGTATTGATCAATTAAAATTAGAATCAGATATTGATCTTTTATTGCAAAGTTGAAAATTATCAAAAGTTAATTCTGAAGTATTCCACTTTTTCTGATTTAACAATATTTTTCTTTATCTTCATATTTTCTTTGTGTTGGCAGAATTGACAGGGATGAAAGATGTTAAAAGATAAAGACACGAATTCTATTGTTTTCTCTGTCTGTGAAATTGATGCTATTTAATACTGAAGAATAGCTTTGTGAGAATAGGTGTGGCGAACAATAAACATGATAATAGGTGTGGCGAACAATAAACATGATAATAGGTGTGGCGAACAATAAACATGATAATAGGTGTGGTGTGAACAATAAACATGATAATAGGTGTGGTGAACAATAAACATGATAATAGGTGTGGTGAACAATAAACATGATAATAGGTGTGGTGAACAATAAACATGATAACAGGTGTGGCGAACAATAAACATGATAATAGGTGTGGTGAACTATAAATATGATAGTAGGTGTGGTGAGCAATAAACATGAAAATAGGTGTGGTGAACAATAAACATGATAATAGGTGTGGCGAACAAAAAACATGATAATAGGTGTGGTGAACAAGAAACATGATAATTGGTGTGGCGAACAATGAACATGATAATAGGTGTGGTGAACAATAAACATGATAATAGGTGTGGTGAACAATAAACATGATAATAGGTGTGGTGAACAATAAACATGATAATAGGTGGTGAACAATAAACATGATAATAGGTGTGGTGAACAATAAACATGATAATAGGTGTGGTGAACAATAAACATGATAATAGGTGTGGCGAACAATAAACATGATAATAGGTGTAGCGAACAATAAACATGATAGTAGGTGTGGCGAACAATAAACATGACAATAGGTGTGGTGAACAATAAACATGATAATAGGTGTGGCGAACAATAAACATGATAGTAGGTGTGGTGAACAATAAACATGATAACAGGTGTGGTGAACAATAAACATGATAGTAGGTGTGGTGAACAATAAACATGATAATAGGTGTGGCGAACAATAAACATGACAATAGGTGTGGTGAACAATAAACATGATAATAGGGGTTGAACAATAAACATGATAATAGGTGTGGTGAACAATAAACATGATAATAGGTGTGGCGAACAATAAACATAAAAAAAGAAAATTTTCTGAGAAGAAGTTTAGATTTATGATATACTTTACTTAAACTTAAACTTTCTCAGGAGGCGGGGGGTGGGGGGGTAGGGTCAAAATTTATAAAGGAGTAATCTCTGTTTGTCTGATTGGATGTCCAATCAAAATTAAGGAACCCTTGGACTGATTTGCCTCAAATAGATAGTGTAAGTAAGTAGAACAATGGGGATTTTTCTAGTTTGGTCTAACAATTCACAGTTGAGTGAGTTGATCCTAAATACTATAAGCTCCAGGCAAAGCTGGGTTCCTAAGCTAGACCGTCATACTATAGAAGTGTATTCAATACATAGGCAGTTAGACAGTTATGCTTTGATTTTTCGTAAAACATGCCTTATAAAATGTTTAGCAAATGTAAAATAAGTTAAAGAACCTGTAGTAAATGCCATACTCGAATAAATACTTTTAGACCCGTATCAATCCAGGTACAACTCAATCCCTCTTGTTAATCAACGAGGCATAAGAACTTTTCCGTTGGATGAATACTTTAATATCAATGTCAATCCGGACACAACTTTATCTGTATCAACACTTAATCCCTCTCGTTAATCCAAGAGGCAAAAGAACCATTCCGTTCAATAATGCTTTAGTACGTGTATCAATGTCAATCCGGACAGGACTTCATCTGTATCAATTCCCAATCTATACCCATCTTTCAAGAAAGTGATTCAAAACGCTTTTCGTTCTCTAACCAAGAAGGAATTACTCTTACACTGTATCAAAGCGGAGTATTATTCCAACTAAATGTATTTTGGGTTCTATAGTTACAAGTTAAGTTAATCAGCGTAATTAAAAGTGTTACGTTCTTATATACAAAAGTAGATAATTAATGATGTACAAAGAAGTTTAGGATTACACGCTCAAAGCTCTCTGAATCAACGTGAGTTTTCCTTGTTTTGTCTGTAATAAGCTGTCATTGGCCTTACCAAATTTATCCTCTATGAGAACAAGGAAAATTTGAAATATGAGTTTATATTATTTGTCTGAAAGACAATGAATGTGCATCAAACATTGATAACATATTTTTAAAAGAAAGTCATAAACGATCAAATGGTTTTGTCACTTTGATATTATATCCCCCCCCCCACCTCCCCCTCATGTTCCCGAGGAAGTATAATGACGTCAATGAAAGAGAGGACCCCCTCTCTGGGTGGTTGTAATATTTGTGTTGGACCTTATAGGACTCTCAAGTCTCAGTTCCTCCTAGGATCCCAAGGAGTGTAGACGTATACAAAATTCAGAAGATTTACAATACAACAAGAATGAAAGTCAATTTACTGCTTACCCTGGTGAGAGCAACTTTTTGTTTACTTTTTTACTTATTATTTTAAATATCTTAATCATTACTCTTTTGGTGTTAAAAAATCTGAGCTTTAAAATAATTTGGTAGGAAAACTGAATTCAAAGCTTTTAGTTAATTTTGGTAAAAATAAAAAAAATATCTCGAGAAAATAATGCGTCAAGCAAATAAATACTGAAAAAAATTGTGCTATTAGTTAATTTTTCACAACTTTTGGTTTTACTGCTTTCATTAAAAGGTCGACTCGTTTTCAACCATTTGAAAAATAAGATTCAACATTTTTAAAATTTAGAATAGACTAGTACTTATTACTGTACTTAGTAGAGTACTTTCCCTAATAAAATTATTTTACTCCAAAAACTATTTTTCGCAGATTTTTCTGTTTGAAGGAATTGAGTCTTTGTTACAAACTGAAATTTTCTAATCCCTATATTTTTGGAACCTGATGGTGTAAACCTGTGATATTTCAAACTTAGATTATTTGATCTTACAGAATTCATTGTTTGAAATTTCTAAGGTCTACAGCATTTAGTTGCAAAGATACAGTGATTTGAAAATCAGAGCTTGTGGCAATGGCTAAATTCCTATGTACATTTTTTCCAGACAAAATATTTTTGAATCTAGCTGTCCATAAACCTTCCTTGAATTATGTGTCCATTTTTACCAAAACATGTTTTAGATTGTTTTAAAAGATCGATTTGACATGTTTTTTGCACATTATGCATCTTTTAGGCTTGGCTCAATTAAGAAAAAAATTTCCAGATTTCATTCTCTTCAACCCAGATCTTTAATTACTGTTAGCACTGAACCGCAAATTATTTAACGCTTTGGAAATACCAGGCAGTGACATCGGCTGAACTAACTAATGTAATCCAAGCCAGAAGGATGGTTTATTTTGATAAACTGTAAATATATAGTATAAGGGGAAATAAATACCCTGTTAGTTTTCTGTGTTTTTTTTTATAGGCAAACATGCTATTTATAGCACCAAGCTAGGGATAGCTTGGGTTCATTGATCTGAACGTGAAGATGGGGGAGAGCCAGGCTAGGCTCCCCAGGCCCCAGTTCGCTACGATTTCTAACTGAGTACGGGACATGGAGTAGTTCGTTTTCAAGATGTTTTGTCTCTACAATATTTTTATATAATCGTTTGACCTATTTTTATTATTGAATAAAGTATTTATTTCGTGTTGACTTGTGTTATGATTCGAGCGTCGTGAAGTAAGTTTTTCAATATGGATATTTATTGAGTTAATTTTCACTCCAGTCCTATAATGTCACTTGGCATATTCTGTTCTAAAGCCCTTTGTTCAACGTCAGCTGACATCGATGAATAAATTTAATGTAAACTAATATTTTTAGTTTTCTCTGATTGGTGTGTCCCAATCCAGCTATTATCACCAGTGTAAGCAGGCTCGAGAAAATTGTTGTGATAGCACTTTTCAAGTTCCAGAAATAAGTCTTCGAAGGTATTTTTATCTAATATACAATCAACCAATGTTCACAAGTTCCTTTTCATTCTTTCACTGCAGTCAAATATATGTTTTAAAGTTATCGAACGCCTTGTACATAATTTTACAATTAATCCATAGATTTCCAAAAAAGCAATGATTTCTCTTCATTTCTAAGTCAAATTATCAGATCATAAGAACATTACTTTAGATGTTTCGAGAAAAACTTCTGTGGTTCAGCTCTCGCTAATTTATGTTCACCAGCAGAGATTCAGCTAAATGAGGTTCGATCCCAACCAACATCAAATATACCATTCAATGCAGGGTTAAGTCAGTCCCAATATAAAACTGTCTACGACACATATTTGGACAGAAAGTCTAAAATGTATAAACCACATGAAAAGAAAACCCAAGGAGCAAGGAAAAGGATTGAAACAACTACCCCTTTGAGAGCAGAAAATCCACGTTAATCAGAATTTTTTTATTAAAGATCGATTAATAAAATTTTAACTATTTTTTTAATTGAATTTCTCTAGGATGTCCAGAGCAAGAAAGCTAAAAATGCAAGATAGAAAGGTGTCTATGCTTGTTCCAGCGCATTTTGCTGTACACTGTACACAGAAGCACACTAGCTGTACACTGTAGACAGAAGAATACTAGCTGTACACTGCACAATATAGTGTATAGAAATGTACACTATACACCAAGGAGAATTGAATACAAGGAGGGGGCAATAGGGTTTCCGTACACTTTGCTGTGACGTATTTGGGCTGCTGGAGAACTAGTTTTTGCGTAACAACAATAATAAAGGCAGCCGATCTAATGTAAACAAACATGAGTTAGTATACGGTGAATCTTCATCTAACGCAGAGATGCACCAATGTCTGTTTATCATTTGTGTTATTGTTTATAATCTTTATTGTTGTTGTTACGCAAAAACTAGTTCTCCAGAAGCCCAAAAACGTCACAGCAAAGTGTACGGAAACCCTATTGCCCCCTCCTAGTATTCAATTCTCCTTGCTATACACTATAGACTGTACACCGAACAACTGCGCATTGCTATACACATTTGAATATGGTACACTGTACATAACTGCATTGTACATAGTGTACACTATACACTGTATACAGTTTACACGTACCCTTTACCATAGAGACAGGCTGCAGTTCAAATATTTTAAATCATAAGTGTATATATTTATTAATATATTGTCTCAATTTTGTTTTTATATAAATATTCTTAAATTATTATTGTGGACTGGTTTAATGGGGTTATTGTATGGAAATGGAGGATATGGAAAGGTAGGTGATGGAACAGAAAGTAATGTGTGGAAAGCAAGGTTTGGAAACGAAGCAGTATTGAAAGGTTTTTATGGATAAGAATTTAGTATGGAATGGAAGTAAGGAAAGTATGAAAAGGAAGATATGGAAAGAAAGGTATGAAAGGAAGATATGGAAAGAAAGGTATGGAAAGGAAGGTATGGAAAGAAAGGTATGGAAAGGAAGGTATGGAAAGAAAGGTATGGAAAGGAATATACGAAAAGGAAGGTATGGAAAGAAAAGTGTGGAAAGGAAGATATTGAAAGGATGGTAATGTAAAGGTTGTTATGGAAAGGAAGATATGGAAAGGAAGAATTTAAAAGGAAGGCATAGAAAGGAAGGTATAGAAAGGAAAGTAGGGAAAGGAAGGTATGGAAAGTAAAGTAGGGAAAGGAATTTATAGAAAGGAAAGTATGGAAAGGAAGGTAGGGAAAGGAAAGTATGGAAAGAAAGATAGGGGAAGTAAGGTATGGAAAGGAAGGTAGGGAAAGTAATATAGAGAAAAGAAGGAGTGAATAGTAATTTAGAGAAAAGAAGGAGTGAATAGTAATGTAGAGAAAAGAAGGAATGAACAGAAATATAGAGAAAAGAAGGAGTGAATAGCAATGTAGAGAAAAGAAGGAATAAATAGTAATGTAGAGAAAAGAAGAAGTGAATAGTAATGTAGAGAAAAGAAGGAGTGAATAGGAATGTATGGGAGGGAATATATATAGAAAGGTAGGTATGTAAAGGAAGGTATGTAAAGAAATTAACATAAAGTGTATATAACTGCTTCTTCTAGGTCCCTACTATCTCTATGGCTTATATAACTGCTTCTCTAGGTCCCTACTATCAATATGGTGTATATAACTGCTACTTCTAGGTCCCTACTATCTCTATGGCTTATTTAACTGCTTCTTCTAGGTCCCTACTATCTCTATGGCTTATATAACAGCTTCTTCTAGGTCCCTTCTATCTCTATGGCTTATTAAACAGCTTCTTCTAGGTCCCTACTATCTTTATGGCTTATATAACAGCTTCTCCTAGGTCCCTACTGTCTTTATGGCTTATGTAAAGCTTCTTCTAGGTCCCTACTATCTCTATGGCTTATATAACCGATTCTTCTAGGTCCCTACTAACTATATGGCTTATATAACAGCTTCTTCTAGGTCCCTACTATCTCTATGGTTTATATAACTGCTTCTTCTAGGTCCCTACTATCTCTATGGTTTATATAACAGCTTCTTCTAGGTCCCTACTATCTCTATGGCTTATAAAACAGCTTCTTCTAGGTCCCTACCATCTCTATGGTTTATACAACAGCTGCTTCTAGGTCCCTACTATGTCTATGCTTTATCTAGCTGTTTACTGTCGGTCTACTATCTCTTTGGTTTATCAACTGTTATTGTGAGAAAAAGGCGTGGTCGCCATTATTATTCATATTTTATTCCCATCACACTCCCCAAATATTATATGCATGGGTTCACATATTGTTAACATTTTATAGATACATTTCTCTGGGTTTTTTAAATTTGATTTTAGTATATTTTATAGAAATATTTAGTCCTCCTCATATGATTAAACAAGAAAAATGCACACGTGGTTGCCATAAAAGTTTCGTTTCAACAACCGAGAGTGCTAAGTTACCTCCTTCTCTTTTTCTCTCATTCATTAATATAATTAATATATGATTCTGATCAATTTTAATCTGATTGGCTTATTTAAATGGATCACTTCCTAAACATAGAATTTCTGACAGGTTTAATTGTTCAAATGCAGAATTAAAGTCAAAGGAGCTGAGAAATCTTCTCATATTCTAATTATATATAATCCAAATATCCTTTGCAACACGATAAGTCAAACTTTGAAATATCACAGGTTTAACCATAAGGAAAAAACGAAAAAAATTTGTTTTAAAATTAAAATAAACCTTTGCAACCTTATGTAGACATTATATATTTAAACCTACAAAAAAAAATTCCGCTAGATCTAACAGTCAAAGTTTAAAATATAAACATAGGCTGCAAAATTATAAGTACGAATTAGAGTTTGAGGCAAGTAATAGTTTATTTGCTGTGATAACTGTACGATCATCCATCCACACTTCAATCATACTTAAAAGAGGGTTGACAAGATTCCAGCTGCTTAAGGGATTCTTCAAATTTTGTTAGATGAAATTTATTATTTATCAACACTTAAAGACTTCTGCTACAAGCTGTGTATTTGGTTCTGGTGCTCCAACAAATTCTGTTTAATGATAATCTTAAGTTTCTGGTTTAGAGTGGTTTAATTTAAAGATATAAGAAAAAAAGAATGATAACCTTTTTGTTTATGTATTATTATTATTTTATTATATTTTCATACGTCACAATTTTGATACCATGAATGTTCTGCCAGATTACAGCCCCTGGTAGATCAATGTAAACCCAGACAACACCAAACTTACGCAATAGAAAAAAATTCCGAGATTTGATCGTAACAACCCGATCATGTCCTGGGGACAAAAAATCTTTTTTTTAAAAAATTGAAGAATAATAAGTTGAATTTGCCTCCCGTAAAGACAAAAAATATTGGTTTTGAATAATTAAAATGTTAACATAAGTTTTAAAGATGACAAAATATCCCCACTTACTTACCTGAATAGTACTTAAGTATCACACAAATAATTTACAATTTGAACTATTTGCTATAGTTTATTAAAATAGGCGACATGAGGAAATATAAGAATATAGAATACACACAATGTAACCCATTTAACTGTGGAATAATAAGATGATTTTAGACTGAAATTATGATGTTTAATAATCTAATGCTCATAAAACCACCAATTGTGCAATATACGAAGACCCTTTTTACTTCATAAGTTGATTTGAAGGTTCTGGTAAAACTGTTTGCAATATAACGACATCAAATATAAAGACGATTTTTAAATGTTGTCTTCCTAGTCCACAGGTGTATGGGCCCCACGCTATCTCCATGTATTTTTAATACAAAATTATTCTAAACTTCGGATTCGATGTCTTCGAGAATTGATTGCGGCAAATTTCCGTTTCCAAGCGCACCACAACTGGCTCCGTTATGTTTGAGGCGGTGTAATACATGAAGCGGGACATCACCCTGAAAACACATCAATATTTCAATCCTACCAAACAGAACTGGATGGAACAACTAGTTTTCTAAATGGAGTTAAATTCTGCAATAGTCTTGCCATAACTGGTTGTTATGCAGTTAACGCCGACTTTTGAACCAAATAACAAACTGGGAATCAAAAAGTCGAATTTAAGTCGAGATTTTCCTCCAGATTTCGTCTAGTTGATGAGTGGACTAAAAAAGTGGTTCAAAAGTTGGTGTTGACACCCGGTTATGACTTTAAAACTCGTCTAAAACTCCACTTCTGGATGTCAAAAGTGGAGTTTCTATTTGCTTGGTACACTTTATGCAATATACCTTCTAAAAACTTTTTTCAGCAAATTAAATGAATCCTTTCCCTCAGAAAATAAGAATTGTATCATAAACCCTATAAAGGCTGGGGAGTCTGAATCTATGTATAGCCTGGGAAGGGGGTGTTTGGCGCCTCCCTGGAAAAAGGCCTTAGAGAATAGGTATGGGGTTGAAATGCATGTTCATAGCCCAATTTGTCATGGCCAGCTTAAAAAAAACAAAATTAGACCGATAACTTTAATAGTTTGGGTGCTAGGGAGGGTGGAAAAAAATGCCTAAAAAATTGCCAAAAAAAAGAAAAAAAATATTTTTGTTTCGTTTTAAACAAATATCAAAGTGTGACACATTTTCTACATGAATTTTTGAAGGGCTTTTCAAAAATATAGTTTTTAGATCTGTAACTTTAGTTACTAAAAAGTTCTGGACTATTTTAGATTTTTTTCACAGACCAGACTTTTTTTCCGCCCTAAACTCTACCCTATAAATTAAAAAAAAAATATTGTTTAGGCTTAAAACTCTCAATGATAAACCCGAGGGCGCAGCATAAAAAAAAACAGCTTTTTATGAAGGAACGGTTTTTCAATATTCTTCATAATTAAAAAAGTTTTAACGGAAAAAATTTGAATCCTAAAATGTGGTACTTTTCAGGAATTGGTCACATATTTAAAGTATGTGAACAATTTCTTTAAATATTTTTGGTATTTTTACGAATTATTTATACAAGGGTGAATGTGAAATGTCCCCAGTCCTATAAGACAAGATGAGATGGAATTTCTTTGTTTAAAGTTTACTTTACAGAATTTGTTTATTCAAGCAAATATCATCTTGTAAGGAGAAACACAACATTTATTTGCGAATTTTATAATTTTCTAGTATATAGATTTTTTTCACGTTTTCTTCAAACTATTATTGATAACTTGATAATTTACAAACATTAAAATTTTAATTCAATAAAAAGTTCCAAATTTAAACCCCCCATGTGTGGAACAACATCTTCTACAAACACATTTCAAGTATTAGAAAATAACCCGTATAAACCAGAATTACAAATCTCAGTTTGTCATTTTAAAGTGCCGTCACAGATTTTTAATGTGTATTTGGTTTATAGCAAATAGATTGTTAAGTACAATAGATGGCAACGTAGTATTTGAACACTCTCAGTACAGCTGTATTCTTACATCACAAGTGTCAGCTCAATATTATGTCCGACAAAATTATTAATAATAGTGACAATTTTAGAATAAAGAGCTTTTCTTACAGTGAAAAAGTGCAATTTTATGTGTTATTTATTTTCTGTGTTTAAACTTTTTTATTTAATCTTGAAAATGAAAAAAAAATATAATGTGAGAAAATTTCGTTTTCTTTGTTATATTTGACACTTGCGACGTCGTGTATAATTGATCCATTTCTCTGTTGCCACCTATTGTACTTGATAATCTATTTGGTTTCTAGATATATCTTCAGCGCCTGGAACTTGTGTTTATCGCAAATCTCAAACCGCTTTATCTCTATGTCCAAGGTGGACACTTTAGAATATTTTTTCAAAATGTCTTTCTTATGTATTAATCATCTGTTTTCTTATGTATTAATCATCTGTTTTCTTACGTATTAATCATCTGTTTTCTTAACAAGAAAATAAGTAGCTATGCATTGTATATTTCTAATTAAAAGCTAGATAAGTTAAAAGTCTTACTTTTGATGATGTCCTAGATTGTATTCTTGAAGACGAACTTGAACCTTCTCCTACACTGCTTCCTTGATCCCTCCTAAAGAATAAAAGGTTTCACTTTTTGGGAGTTTTTTCTTTTTCTGTGTGTTTTATACTAATCTAACTCTATCGTATTAATTTATTCATTTAAAGATTTATTTTAGGGGCGTATATATATATATATATATGTTTGTTCATGTTATTGTGTTTATTTTAAAATAACAACATTTCAAGGCTGTTTTACAATCTTTTGTTTTTATTAACAAATAAAAAGCAGGAAGCCAGTATGTTTAATACCCTAATACGCAGACGCTATTGTAAACATGTAAATAAACCATAATCCTCTTCGTTCAACTCTTATATGATATCACCCAACTAAGATTTAAATATTATCGAAAATGTTGTGCAAACTATGAATTCTTTTGTTAAGATTCTAATGCATTAATGCAGAATACGTCACTTCATGTAAACCAAGACAAGCTAGACATTAAACATTGCAGTAATACGAGCTAGTGCACTCTACAGAAAATTAATTAATTAAATGATCAAGCAAGATGTAAGGATTTCAAAATTAAAAATGGATTTCAAAATTTAAAAAAATAAACCAAATATTTTACACTTTTTTTCTTTCTGAATTTTTTATGTTTTAATTGATCTGCAACAGACTTTTCTAACTAAAATTGCGACTAAATGGCAGCTCAACAATAACAAAAATGTAGCTGAAACATATCTGGAGAGCTTAAGTACTCACCTATTCATGTTTTCTATGTTATTTTTCTTCATGAAAAGAACATGGTTCATCTCATCCTTCTCATCATCCTAAAATTTATTTATATATTTACTATTAGAAGAACACAGTTAAAAATAATCAGTTTTCAAAATTAAAAACATTGATATATGTGGGTATCGTTGTAAATCGGGCATTGTCATCTTTGCATGGATGGTCACTTAAAACTACGCGTATAGTCTTTTTAAACTAAATTCATTTCACTCAGATTCACAGAGATGCTTAACGTGAACATAAAATCTGAAATACACTCAACCTTTGGTAAAATGTCGTCTACCTTTTCATGATTCTCACTGTATCGTTAATCTGGAACACTTGATCTTTATATCCAATGTGGGTACATTTAAGTTTAAGATCAATGCTTGATTCCGCAATTAACTTAAACATGTTCAAAGCTATACATCTGTCCTGATCGACACGAACAACAAAATCTGAAGCTTTCTTTTGTATTTTTTAAAGAAGATTTTCATTTCAATCTATTATGTTCATGGCCGTATATAATATTTATCAAGGAATACTCCAAGAGCTATCAAAGCTTTATTTACAAGCTAGCTTGGAAACCCAGCTTTAACTGGAAACTATATTTTCCATTAACAATTTAACCCAATGAACTTAGAATCTTTAACCCCAGCTAAGAAAATTCCTAAAGTTCTTCCAAGTTCCCCAATCAAAATTTGAGACGAATCTATCAAGGCATTTTACACTTTGGGATTGTTGATATTTTATCACTAGGTTTGATGCGTTTATGCGGCGCAATAACATCAATGTGAACTGTAGTTTACTGCAAGTTGTACTTACTAAAATATGTGAACTGTATAAACTTCAAGTTGAACTTAATGAAATATGAGAACTGTATATACTGCAAGTTGCACTTTATGAAATATGTGAACGATGTACACTGCAAGTTACACTTAATGAACTATGTGAACAGTGTATACTGCAAGTTACACTTAATGAAATATGTGAACAGTGTATACTCCAAGTTACACTTAATGAAATATGTGAACAGTGTATACTGCAAGTTGTACATAATGAAATATGTGAACTGTATATACTGCAAGTTGTACATAATGAAATATGTGAACTGTATATACTGCAAGTTACACTTAATGAACTATGTGAACTGTATATACTGTAAGTTGTACATAATGAGCTATGTGAACTGTATATACTGCAAGTTGTACATAATGAAATATGTACGTATCAATAAAAAGTTACTTGACAAAGTTAAAATCTGTACTTAAAGTTTTTTCTTCTGATGAAAATATTGTTTTAAAAAAAAATTTTTTAAAGAAATATTCAATCTTTAATTAGTTATTTTAAACAAAAATGAATTCTTCATGCATAACGAATACCTTGACAATTAAATTGTATTGGTCAACCAGACTCAGAGAACAAATATTGAACTAGAGAATTTGTACTCTCAAAAAGCGTGTTTCTACAGACCAGGGGTAGAAAGTGAAATAGAAAGTAAGAAAACCTTAAAAGTTCTAAAAAACGACCTAAATTATTACTTAATACTAGTAAGCATTAAATGTTTAAACTAACACAGCAACTTCCTTTCTTGTCTAATCTGTTTTATCAGCATGATAAAGGGATTCACAATAAATTGGAATGTTTAATTTGATTATATTAGATCTTGATCAAGGTGTCTTCTTTGAACTCTGTTTTTATAATGATTGCGCATACTACAGTGTGTCTCGATAACACACGACTGGTTGTCTGACTGTCCGTTTATATCCAATAAACGGCAAAACGGCTTAACCGATCGGGCCCAAATTAAATTGGTGTGGGACCTCATATGACCCCATTGCACGGTTTATGGATGCTAAAATTACAAAACTTTGTTTCCTAAAATTTTTGATTTTTGTAAAATTTCGAAAGCAAAAGTATATTGTTGAATCCGCGAACTTTATTGTTATCGTTTTATATTGTGTAAAGAGAATGGGCTCACAGATGGAGCCACAATTTAAAGATGAAATAGAAGATTGGCGCGAAGCGTCTTCAAAGCCTAGTAGTAATTAAATTGTAATGAATATTCTATGCATTGAAAAAAATGGTCTTTTAACTGTTTTTTAAACTTTTTTTCTAACCTAAAGGAATTCTTACTCAATGTAATACATGGTCGTTAAGTCGTTAAGTGGGCCACTCTGTTTATTGCGTTTAAATTGTACTTTGAGGATTTGTGATGTTCCAAAGAGCATAAAAAGTTGGTTTTTTTTATTTACAACAATATCGTTTGTATCTTTGTGTATATTGTTGCCATCTTTTAAAGATATTTCACTATTTCTAGCAATTTTTCAAATTTTCTGTTTTGCAAATCTCATAAATTAAACATCTTTTTTCCTTTAAATTCAAAAACGGCAGACCACGACTAGCTCTTGAAGCTCCAGAGCTAGTCGTACAACAAAAAAAAAGATGACTAAGTCCCCACAAACTGCAAATATTGATTAAGAAAAGATTAACATTATACTTACGTTAAAAACTTTTTTGAGAACAAGTGCTTTCCTTCCGTCCGCCATGATGTGAGAATATTTGGTTTGGCTTTTCAAGCGCGAGGCTGGCGGAATACCGCGTTCAATTATCAAAACTGTTCGAGCCCACTATAAATATAAGTAAATAATCGTTAGAAATCAATACGTGATAACTTCAGGGTTAGATAACCAATTCAGAATATTAAATGAACCCCTAAAGAAATGAGTTTGTGCCACAAACTCTAATTTTTTAAACCCTTTATTTCTGCAACCCGATGTCGTAGACCTTTGATATTTCAAACGATAAATTCTGTTCGATCAAATAGTCAAAGTTTGAAAAAAACAAAGGTTTACACCATCAGGTTGCAAAATTATAGGGTTTCAAAATTGAGTTGTGGCAAAACTCAGTTAATTTCTTTATGTTTAAGTTCATTTAAAATTACCCACATCTTTTAATATTTTTCAATTTTGTTAACAGTTTCATTTTGTTAAAATATTTGTTGTGCTTTTGCTTCATTTCAGGTCTGGATAAATTGCAATGCTGCTGCAATGGGACCTGTATTTCAGGTCGGGATAAATTGCAATGCTGTTGCAATGGGACCTGTATTTCAGGTCTGGATAAATTGCAATGCTGCTGCAATGGGACCTGTATTTCAGGTCTGGATAAATTACAATGCTGCTGCAATGAGACCTGTATTTCAGGTCTGGATAAATTGCCATGCTGCTGCAATGGGACCTGTATTGGTATTATATACAGGCATGTCCAAGTTATCCAAAAAGGATAAGACTTCAGAGAGATTACTGTTTTAATAGTTTTTCCTCTTAATCTATGGTTTTCTGCAGCTGTAAATTGTTATAGCTGTAGATTTTTAGGTTGTCATTAAATCATCATCATTTGTGGGTAACCCTGTATATGTATGGGCTCATCACCCTTTACAAAAGTTGGACAATCCAAATTAATATTTTTACCAAAAATCTATCTTTATAATATTTACCTGTCTCATCCATTCATTCCGAATAGCAGCAATTTCACTGTAGGTGTTCCCCATCATAGCAATTAGTAGGTTTACCAACAGAACAGTTACTAGAAGTCAGGTTCAAACATTTTAAAAGGGACTGTACGCGTAATTTAATGTGACCTCCCTGCAACGATAACAATGCCCAATTCACAACGTTACTCTTAAAAGCTTTGTCCTCATCAATTAATCCTTAAAGGGACAGACCGGCTATGTAAGGTAGTTGAACTGAGTATGCAGTGTTGTGGAAAACTTCCTTCGGATTCATTTGAGACATTTTAAACTTTTTAAAGATCTGTAAATCCTGAGTTTGAGCGCAAATTCGACGTTCAAAACTCCCCTTTTGGGGGTGGATATGTTTTCAGAATTAGTTATTTTACATTATTAAAAAAAATTAATTATCAATCAACTTTTCTACAAAAGTGATTTGCTCATATTTACTGCAGGAAAACATATTGGATTTTAAACCTCTATATATAATGGCAATATCTCTCACATTATTAATCACGTAAAGGTTTAAAAGTGAATATCGTAGCATGGAGGGTCGCTTGAAATTTTACCCTGACATTTTTCACTTAAAGGGACAGTAAAGGAAAAATGAAAGGGGGTATAGGCTGAAAGCTAATCACTTTAGCTTTTCATCGAGACCCTTGAGACGCCTATCTGAAGTTCCTAACTCGAGAGTTGATATAAAGCTGTTTCAAACTTGTACGAAAATGCATATATATACAATTTCGTATAGAAATAGTAAGTTTAATAAGACCATGCTCAGAAAAACAGCAACCAATCTGAAAAAGATGATATCCCAGAGAAAGCTAATTGTAATTTAGGTTTACTTTTATATTTGTTGTTTCTATTTTCAATAGATTTCATTCATAATATTATTTTTACGTCCGTATTACTTGACCAGAAATTCCACCAATGGCAGTGCAGTAAAGTGGTCACGTGATACAGGCGGAGACACGTGACCAGTATACTGCTCTGCCATTGGTGATAGTTCTGGTCACGTGATTTAAGTTTCAGATTTTCAAAATTTTACATATATGAATTTTCGTATAATTATAACACAGTTTTATATCAATTTCTCGAGACAGGAACATCAGATAAAACTTTTATGGGTCGCGATCAAGAGCTAAAGTGATTAGCTTTCAGCCTATACCCCCTTTAATTTTTCCTTTACTGTCCCTTTAACAGTTAGAGATGCTCACGACCGATGGCGTCGTTCATAACGAACGAATTGGATAGTTGAAAGAAATAAAAAAACCAATTTTTTTTAACAGAAGAGCTAAACGAACAATTTTACTGAACAATTGATTCCACTGAACACGAACGATTTTACTGAACAATCGTTCAGTAAACAAAAACGAAAGCAAAGAATGTAAAAAATGACGATAATAATTTTTAAAACATATTCAAATAATAATTCTTAAAATATATCTAAATAATAATTCTTAAAATAATAATAATAATAATCATAATTCGTAAAATATATTCAAATAATAATTCTTAAAATATATTCAAATAATAATTCTTAAAATATATTCAAAAAATAATTCTTAAAATATATTCAAATAATAATACTTATTAAATTAAAAAAGATCGAGAAACAAATTTGTCTTGACTGACTTTCCTATCATAACAAATACAAAGAAACCAGTTTTTCCGATGTACTGCAATACAGGAGTACACTTCCCTAGTCCGTTGTATACTCGTAAAAAGTGTCCAAGAGACATGATGAAAACCTTGAAAGAAATATAGATTTTTAGCAAAGGAATTGAATCTTTGCCACATATTCTGATTTTCTGATCCCTATTTCTTTGCAACCCGATGTCGTATGATCTTGGATATTTCAAATTATGAATTCTTTTAAATTAAATCAACTAAATTTGTAACATCAAAGGTTTATAACGATAGGTTACAAATAAATAGGGATTTGAAAATCTGAGTTTGCTGTAAAGACTCAATTTCTTTGCTTTATTAGATTTTATGGTAAAGTTAATTTGTAAAAAATTAAAAATATATTTTAAACACTTGAATAATCTTTATTTTGGAACAAATTGTATAAAGACATAAAAAAGATAATTTTCATAACTTTATTCTTGATTAGCATTGCTCATGAAATAATGCAAAAATATTTCAATTTCTTACGTGAACTTTTTTAAAATAAATTATTTTAAAAATACAATTCTTAAGCATGCTGTATTCTTATTATTTTTATACAAGGTGTCCCAATTAACATGGGAATCAAGAGACAAATTCTTTGTATAAAATTATCGTTGTGTTGCCTAATTTCAATGGTAAAAATAAAGTTACGTCTGTTAGAGAATATTTTATGTAAACGGTAAAAGACTGTTTTGTTATTCTGCAAAACATTGTACGATGTTCTTTAACAATTATGCAAGATAAACAGTAAAGAGAAACAACTGTACGAACTGTATTACTATTGTGTATGTATGTACGAACTATATTACTATTGTGTTTGTATGTATAACGAATTTCTAATATTATTAAGTGCAATACAATATGCAGTAAAAACATAAATAAACAAATGATTAACTTTAACCGGTTTTTAGCTTTCCTATTAGGCAGTAAATGAAAAATCATTTTCAAAGACGATATCAAAATCGTCGCTGAATTCTCATGTTTTTTGGGACACCCTGTATACAACAGTGAAGAGACTTTTGTATTCATGAATTCCTGATATTATAAAGTAGACCTGCATAATACTTTCTCCGCTGTCTGGAATAGGATTTTTAGCACCGCCCTCTCCGGAGAACGATGTGAAAATTATAAAATATGCTGAAAAAAGGCATTATAAATTTAAAATGGAGATCCAGACGAATCAAAATAAAAATCTGATTTTTTAATATTTTCATATCTCATGTATTATCTCTCGGAAGTTGAAAAAACAGAGACTTTTAATATTAAATGTATCATAAGAAAAGTATATTTTCAATAGATATTTTGAATAAAATTATTTTTTTACGAAATTAATCATAGTTTATTTTGAAATCTAATGGAGTCGAAAATTCTTCTCATTAGTAATAAAGATCTGACCAAGGAACTATATACAAGAACGGCCAACTCAGATATACGCAAATTATGTACTGTACTCTGTGTGAGGAATGTAAACAAGCCCAGTGCCCCCACAGAAGTTGAAGGGAAAGGACTACAGCTCTGATGTGATATTACAGTCCAACAAAAAACAAGTTAATATATCAAGTTAGAGCGAATACTTATGATTTTTGGCTTTCTGGTCAATATGGACAATGCAATAGTAATATATTCTTATTCCACCCCTTGGGCCCTTTTCCCTCAAAAATGATGCGTTGCCCCTTAATTCTTTGTTTTGGTCTCCTCCCACTGCAGTACACAGTTGTAACGCATCAGATGTCAGGTGCATGGTGCAGTTTATGTCCGGTGCATGGTGCAGTTTATGTCCGGTGCATGGTGTATTGTATGTCCGGTGCATGGTGTATTGTATGTCTGGTGCATGGTGCAGTTTATGTCCGGTGCATGGTGTATTGTATGTCCGGTGCATGGTGCAGTTTATGTCCGGTGCATGGTGCAGTTTATGTCCGGTGCATGGTGCAGTTTATGTCAGGTGCATGGTGCAGTTTATGTCCGGTGTATGGTGCAGTTTATATCCGGTGCACGATGTATTGTATGTCCGGTGCATGGTGTATTGTATGTCCGGTGCATGGTGCAGTTTATGTCCGGTGAATGGTGCAGTTTATGTCCGGTGCATGGTGCAGTTTATGTCCAGTGCATGGTGCAGTTTATGTCCGGTGAGAAAACAAATTTTAATGTTAAAAAATGCGCAAATAAAGTCAGAATTGTTGTACTGAGTTTGTGAAGAGAAATCACTTTACGATAAAAGAAACATTAAATAGTTTAAATTAATACAATTGAGATGAATTACTTTAGAACTCCATCAGTATGTACGTTTAAAAAAAGAATATTTATATAACAGAGGTGCATAAAGGCCCTTTTCCCTCAAAAATGATGCGTTGCCCCTTAATTCTTTGTTTTGATCTCCTCCCACTGCAGTACACAGATTTAACGCATCAAATATGGCGGTTCCTGGTATATATATTTCTTGGATCTGACTAATAAGGTATAATTATTATAGATATACTGTGAAATCCATAAAACTGATAATAGGTAGGCGACGTTTAAGCAACCTAGGTGTTTTTATTGTTGTTATAAAGCATATATTACCAATTGGATGAAAATCAGTTTTCTAAGTGAAATTGGTCTTCACTATTGCAAAATAGGATGAAAATCAGTTTTCTAATTAAAATTGGTCTGCAGTATTGCAAAATGTTTGTGTTACGTATTCTTTGAACTGTTCAAAATCAAAATTCGAGTTTAACAGTTGTATTCCTTTTCCATGGAGAGATGTATAGGTCATGATGCTGGGATGCTATATAATTTCAAATAGCCCTCAACACATATATGGCAATACCCGGCTCAATGCGGTAGCCAGCTTTTTCGATAAGCTTGAATTAAATAGATTATAATTTTGAAAACTGATATTTTCATTGTGGCTTCTCTACAAAGTGTATTGTGCTTTTCTTCTGCAGGAAAACATCTATATATTTACATAGTAATTATCCTAAATAAACCCTTTTAAACCTCTAAAACGATATTACAATTTTGAAAGGGTCCCTTTGTAAAACGGGCATTTTCATCTTTGTATGAACGGTATCTAGAAACTACGCTTGCTGTCCATTTAGGAATGCACCACAGTAGGACCTATAAACCTCTGTCATTCGATTAATTTTCCTTAAAATATTGTAAAAACCAGTGCAGTAGATTTTAGTATGTAACAGATATAATTTGAAGATCTGGTTTTAAATATGCAAACGTCATTTATATATTTTATTTTTAGCTGGAATTGAAAGCAATTTGAAAATTTTGTTGGTCATAATTTACGTAACTAACATTTGTTACCAAATAAAACTTGGAAGTTGCAGCTTAGTAAATTATACCAAAGAAAGTTGGAATTTTGTAAATAATACCAAAGGAAGTTAAAACTTGGACCAAAGGAAGTTGCAATTTAGTAAATCAATGCAAAAAGAAGTTGTAACATGATTAATCATACCAAAAGAAGTTGCAACTTTGCTATATATCATGACAAAGGAAGTTGCTCCTTTGTAAATCAATATGAAAGTATGTTAGAACTTGGGAAATAAAAAAAAAAATCTTTTAAATCGCCAAAATATATTTAGAAAATTATCCTTACACTGAGAAAATCCTATTGTTATTATAGCGTAGACAATAACAAATCTAAGAAGATCTTTTGCCAGCATCCTGTAGATCATTATCACAAAGGTTCCGACAAACTTGAAGGCCCTGAGAAATGCTTTATTACATATAATTATTTATCTTATTTTCATACAACACAGTTATTGTACAGATTTATATACAGGGTTTCCCAATAAACATGGGAATTCAGTGACGAATTCGATATCGTCTTTTTAAATAATTCTTTGATTTAGTATAGTGATACCTACTAATAAAGCGTAATGTCTGTAATGTTTACAATTTGTTTGTTTATGTTTTGACTGCATATGGTTGTACTTAGTAAAACAAGAAAATTACAGTATACAAACAGAGTAAACTTGTCCGTCTTCACTGTTCATCTTGCGGAGCCATTATAGACACATCTTTACAGTCTTTTACCGTTTTCATAAAGTAAACTCTAGCAGACATAATAATATTATGGTTGTGAAATAAGGTATTGCAATGCTAATTCATAACAAAGACGATATCGAATTCGATACTGAATTCCCATGTTTATTGGGACACCCTGTAGGTTGTAAATATATAACACACAAAAAGTTTAAACATATTTAATTTCATTATTTTCTAAATTATTGATTGGATAATATAATACAAAACCGGAAACATTTGCTTTTCTCTTAATTGTATATAAAAACAAAACTCGAGGAGCTACGCGGGGTCACAAAGTCATACTAGTAAAGGTGTATAAAGGGAGGGTTGCACTTTGACACTTATTTGCATTTCATATTTTGACCTCCGGAGGTCATTGACATTTGGAGGTCACGACCTCCAGGATCATCTGAGGTTAAATGCAGGGTCTCTGCAGAATGGAATCGGAACACCAAAAAACCTATGATTTGATAACTCACATGACCCATTATTGAAGGGAGGTCAAACTGGAGGTGGGATATATGTGTCAATATCAGCACATGATGTATGGGTTAGTAAAAAAAGTGAAAACATGTCTGATTAACTTAAAATAAGTGAATTAGAGGGGGAAAAGTGGTATTTTCCCATATTTTCTGAAGTCATGTGGGTCAAAATTGAGGTCAATGACCTTCGATCTCAAATTTTCTTATTTTCTTCATGATCCATGTAGACGACTAAAATTAGAGGCTGCATGCAAAATTTCAGCCTTCTATCTCAATTTTTAGGACCAAACGCAGTCTGTAGAAAATTTGGTGTTACCAAGTGTCAAATTACAATGGTGGGGGGTCCAAAAATCGTATATTAGGAAATTACCAACGGATTAAGCCCATTACTTTTGTCCAACCCCTGGTATACCTGCAAAAGAATAAGAAATGAAAGGTTGTGGATAGAACTACAAGAAGAGCTACATGATCCTCCACGGATCGCCTGCAGGTCATTCTGAACGAAAGTTTTAATAAAATCCTGAAAAAAATCCTACTTTTTGGGATTTAGGGCAAAGGAGGTTTCGTAATTGTTAACTGAATAAAGCAATATGTAGATTGCGGATTGCAGATTTCCCCAAATTGGTTAAGTACATAAATAAAATATTAACCCCCCCCCCACACTTCCCATATTAAAAACTGATGAACCAAACCAAACTGATAAACTTTGGAATTGAACCAAAACCCGGATATATGGACCAATTCACAAATACCATAGAATTATGAGTTCATATCTTAATGCTCAGTAATCCTGTAATTCCCCTCTTCACGCTCAGCTCGTTTAAAGAGATTTTAAAAAAGTATATAGTGGGGGGGGGGTAGTCCCACACATTTGGCACCTCCAGGGTGAGGGCTGAATCCCCCATACCCCCTTGTAAATCTCATTTAGCAGCTTCGCACGGGCGTGGCACATCTCAACTTTTTTTTTGGGGGGGGGGATTTCTCTAGTATTCCAACTATTTAAAAAATTTAAGAAGAGAGTGATTGATGCCGGTGGGTTGATCCAGAAATAATTTTCATATTGCGCTCTACACTCGAATTCAATGGGTACTGGACATTATTTAGATATAAATAAATACAAATAAATCTATGAGAATAGAGGAACACAGTCTTCATAACATCTGTATTAAAAAACCAGGGACTTGAAAAAAAAATAATTTAATACATAAAAATCATGAAAATGTGTTAAACATGTTGCGTTTCAATTTTAGTTTACTGTAAAGCTAAATATTTTCTAATTTGGGAAGTCATTGTCATATATTTAGTCTATTTTTTCATTGTCATATATTTAGTCTATTTTTTCATTGTCAACTAAAAATTAAAGATGATTCTAGAAGGACAAACTATCAAGGTTTCCCAGAATATATTTGAGGGTAGGAACATCATCTCTCTGAACAAATTAAATTACAGAATCCTATTTTTTCATTGTCAACTAAAAATTTATCTTTTTGGTTTTACGGCAATAATTTTTCATAAATCAATTCAAATAAAAAGTCAATGTTGGGACTAGAAGAAAGGGTTACGAAGCAACCGGAATTTCTATTTTTTGTTCAATAAAAATGAAACGCGTTAAGTGATGTTTAAAAAAAAAGAAAACTAGTGATTGATAATAATCACTCATATAGGCTTGAAGAGCCATGACAGATTCAACAATAAAAAACCTACCAGAGAAAAATTGTAAAGCTCATGGTTCATTAAAACTATGATGTTTTTTATAAAAGGAGGAGGAAGGAGGGGTAGGGGAGTAAACCAGTGTAAGTAGAATAAAATTTAGAAAATATTCTGGGGATTTCAAGAATTTAGGGAGCTAATTTCAAATCATGCGAATCATTGTACCAGGTATTTGAAACATTTGAAATGGTCAAAGGTCCCCCCCCCTGCCTCCCTACCCCATTTTTAGCTTTTACTATAAAAAGGAAATGCAGCAAACATTCTTTTTGTAAGAAGTTAGATTTAACCAGAGTTAAAGATGCCGCGGGAGCTAAGCCTTTAATTCAAATTTAACTCGAGTTTTTCCCAGTTAACAATTCTTTCAAAATGAAATAATAATGAGTATGACATTGAGTACTTGAGGGAGAATGCAACAATAATGAGAATGATATATAGTACCTGAGGGAGAATGCAACAATAATGAGAATGATAGTTATAAGTACCTGAGGGAGAATGCAAGAAAAATGAGTATGATATTAACTACCTGAGGGAGAATGCAACAATAATGAGAATGATATATATAAGTACCTGAGGGAGAATTCAAGAATAATGAGTATGATATTAACTACCTGAGGGAGAATACAACAATAATGAGAATGATATAGTACCTGAGGGAGAATGCAAGAATAATGAGTATGATATTAACTACCTGAGGGAGAATACAACAATAATGAGAATGATATAAAGTACCTGAGGGAGAATTCAGCAATTATGAGAATGCCTATGAGTACCTGAGAGAAAATGTAACTATATTGACTACCTGTGGGAGAATACAACATTTTTGAGTGCCTGAGGGAGAATGCAACATTTGTGAGTGCCTGAGGGAGAATGCAAATATTATGAGTACCTGAAGGAGAATGCAACTATAATGAGTTCCTGTGAGGGAATACAATATTTTTGAGTACCTGAGGGAGAATACAACAATATTAACTAACTGAGGGAGAATACAACAATATTAACTACCTGAGGGAGAATGCAACAATAATGAGAAAGTTTCCTAACATAAAGATGATTCTAGAAGGACAAACTATCAAGGTTTCCCAGAATATATTTGAGGGTAGGAACATCATCTCTCTGAACAAATTAAATTACAGAATCCCTAAATCACCTTATCACAGACTCATCAGCTTCAAGCAAATGAGTTAAAGGGTTACTCACAAAGGATGAGACTTTAAAGACGATCGTACGAAATCTGTTATTAGTCCGTTTTCTTCGGAAACCATCAAAATACTCAATTGAATACAAAAACAAAAATCAAGCTTCTCATCGTTATAATTTTAGAGTTTTGAGTCATCTTAACAGTCTCATTCTTTGTGAGTAACCTTGTAGTTTACGAGTTCGTTCTTTTTAAATATGTGAAATAAAGTCAATAATCTTGATATTTCATTGAAGAAACTGTTCTTGTCACGTTTAATATAAACCATTATCTGATCAAAAATGTAAAAGTTATGATCTCTTGTCTATTTAAAACAGTGTTTATTAATTGATGAGACAAATCTGGTCAGGTACCCTTGTGAACAGGACATGCCACTCCATTAATAGGGAGGCAGGGTACCCTTGTGAACAGGACATGCCACTCCATTAATATGGAGGCAGGGTACCCTTGTGAACAGGACATGCCACTCCATTAATATGGANTTAATTGATGAGACAAATCTGGTCAGGTACCCTTGTGAACAGGACATGCCACTCCATTAATAGAGAGGAACAATTCAAATTACATTTACAGTTCCTTTGAAGGGACTGTAAACGTAATTTTAATTGATCCTCCATGCACATATGGTAATGCTCGATTAACAAAGACACCCTTAAAAGCTTTGTCTGATCAAGTTTGAATTAGATTTTAGTTTCTTTGAAATGTTTATTTTCATTTGCGGTTTCTCTTCGAAAGTGACTTGCGCATTGTTTTTATCAGACTAAGCATTCAATTAAGTGTACATTGTAAATAGGGCATTGTCATCTTTGTATCGAGGGTCACATGACATTACAGTTACAATTCCTTTAGGCTGACACAGTTTTTATATAAAGATATTGATATGGTCCCTAACTTATGGAATTAATAAATAATTCATCATTAAACCTTACCTAAATCCAGTAAAAATATAAAGAACAGTGAGTGGTAGGATTAATAACTCGGAGAGAACTCTTACTTTGTCCTCAGTAGACTCAATGCTGAAAAATTAATAAATTATAATTTAAAAATATATCTACCTCTAATTAAACGTGACATTTTCTTGATTAAAACAGGAAAATATCGTATTCTAAAAATGTATTGCGGCCTTCATTCTTGAATCTAAATTTACAAGTCTGATTCTAGGAAAAGTTTTTTTTTTAAATCCCCTAATCCTGGTTTTCCTAAATGAGGTTTGTCTGTTTTTTTATTGAGCGGATTAGTATAAATATAAAGAATTTTCAAATTTCTAAATTTATGAAATGAAATTTAAACTTTGCATCTGATAAATAAACAATATATTTTTTATATAAAAAAGCTTTAAAAGCTAATAATTGAATAATCTTGTTGAGTTTCAAGCCTGGCCATTATTTAGTAATGTTATGTCCAGTGAAACACCCTGTAGTATTCTTGCTTTTGCTTCTTTATAACAATCAAAATATTGTAAATTTACAGAATATGTGGCAAATGCCCTACTCCAATAAATACTTTTAGATCAGTACCAATCCAGGTACAACTCAATCTCGAACTCCAGGTTCTCCATTAATACCTTGGTCAGTATCAATCCAGATACGACTCTATCTGTATTCTGTCTTACAAGATACAACTCGATCTAGAATTCAAGGTTCCTCAGTAATACCACGGTCAATATAAATCAGGATATGACTCAGGTATCTGTCTTACAAGATACAACTCGATCTAGAACTCAAGGTTCATCTTGAATACCATAGTCAATATATATCCAGATACGACTCAGCCTGTGTTCTCAGGTTTCTGTCTTACGAGATACAACTCGATCCCTCTCGTTTATACACGAGGCATAAGTTTAAGAAAAGCAAGGCTAGGATCATAAAACAATTGAAGCCATGTCAATTAACTGTACCTCCAAAGTCCGCAAGGATTGTTTGTAGACCAGTTTCCAGATTGACAGCTCTCTTGTAAACCAGACGCTTCTGGTATCCTGCTCTCTTCTGGTATCCTACTTTCTTCTGGTATCCTACTCTCTTCTGGTATCCAACCCTCTTCTATCACAGGATAATCGGCAGAAGAACTAAAAATTAAAGAGACTGTAAGTGTAATTTCAAGTAACCCATCATTTAAAGAGTGCCTTGCAACACTGAGATATCTTTCATTCTTAACCAGGCAACCCTATGAATGGCACCGCTTCTGAATCGGACATGCCAATCTTTGAAATGAAGGGTCACTTAAAATTACGTTTTTAAAACTTTAACTTTTGAATCTATAAAGGCACTATTCATTAGATGAAGTTTACATTAAAGGTTAACCACACAATATGAGAATTCAAAGACGACTGTAGAGAGTTATTCACCATAGTTTCAGTAGAAGTAAATATTTCTAATTACTGATTGCAGGATTCATAACTTTGATTGGATAATGAAATAGATAGAAAAATAGCTGTTATCACCATACTAATTCTATTGGTTTAGAATATACAACAAACACATGTCTGAACCCTGATTGGATCATGCGCTAATGGAGTGCATTCAGTCTTTGTTCTTACCATGAGGGTTCAATAAACTTTTTTTTTATTTATAAATTCTTTAATTGCCGGATCGAATTTTAATGAGCAAACCGGGACAGTGCGCCAAAAAATTCCCTTCTCGGTAAAGGATTTGAGTCTTTGCCATAAACTCTGATTTTCTAATCCCTATATCTTTGCAACCCAATGTAGTGAACCTTAGATATTTTAAACTATGAATTCAGTTAGATTAAATAATCTAAGATTGAAATATCAAAGTTTTACAGCAGCAGGTTGCAAAGATATAGGGATTGGAAAATTTGTGTTTGTGGTAAAGACTCAATTCCTTTATGAGTTTGAGGTTGTCAGATAAGCCTCATCTATGGTGAGTAACCTGTAAGTGTTACCTGTTTACTGAACTAGATTCAATCAGCAGCCGATAACACATGGATTCAGGTACTATACAATAAGAAGTAACATTTAGCATTACATTTTTGTCTTTAATTAAGAGGCTCCTCAAATATATGATTATTTTCTTGTTACAAAATATTACATGCAATTCTAAATGAATTGACTATTTGCCACAAACCCAAATTTTCTATCCGTATACCTTTCCAACCTGATAGTTAAAACTGTTGATATTTTAAGCATATTTGATCTAACAGAATTCATAGTTTGAAATATTTAAAGGTCAACAATATTAGGTTGCAAATATATAGGAATTAAAAAATCAGAGTTTGTGGCAAAAAAAATGAATTCCTTTGTACTCTTAGAGAAGACATAGAGCACAATTGAAACCCCCTACAACACTGAAATGTGTTAAAACAAACCCTGAAATGATGCCTTTTTCTATAGGTTCTTTCGAATTTTATTATAGCAATTTTTTAATTAGTTTTTTTTTCGCTCCAACCAAATTTTTCGAAAACAAATACATTTTTGAAAAGGGAAATGATTTCAAATTTTTAAATGAAAAGTTATACCTAGTTTATCAGAAATACTAAGGTTCAGGTAATCTCTGAAAACATTTTTGTAAAACATGCTTTCCACAGTGATTTAACCGTTTGGTCCTTGTGCCAGCTATAGCAGCGACTTTCGGTCACATTTTTACCCAATTAAATATAAATTTTTCGTTTGTACTCTTTTGTACTTTATGTCGTGGTGCATTTTTTACGAAAAACTAGAAAATTACAACTCCGTAAGTTAAAAGCTTGTTAAATTATAGAGCAAAACTCTTCTAGTTAAATTATAGACCAAAACTCTTTAAGTTAAATTATAGAACAAAACTCTTAAAGTTCAATTATAGACCAAAACTCTTTAAGTTAAATTTTAGACCAAAACTCTTCAAGTTAAATTATAAACCAAAACTCTTCTAGTTAAATTATAGACCAAAACTCTTTAAGTTAAATTATAGACCAAAACTCTTTGAGTTAAATTATAGACCAAAACTCTTTAAGCCAAATTATAAACTAAAACTTTTTAAGTAGTTAAATTATAGACCAACACTCTTAAGCCAAGTTATAAACCAAAACTTTTAAAGTAAAATGATAGACCAAAACGCGGTAAAATTTTAAGTTGAAGTAACTGAACACATCAAGCCTGGTGAGTCTAGGGTATGTCTGCATATATGTATTCACACAAAGTTCCATTATAAAGAGAAATTATAAGAATTTAACAACAAGAAAAGCACAGTTTTTTGGGCGTTTTTTATTGGGCGTTTTGTTTTGGAAGTTTTGTAACATTGGGCATGTTGTGCCCATATTGGGTTATTAAGATTTTCGTTTTTTTTATATCGGTTCAATCTATATATAAATTTGGCTTGTCTTGGTGTTTGTATGTCTGTTTGTTTGTATCCAATAAACGTTAAAATGGCTGAACCGATCGGGAAAATTTTTTTTGTGGGACCTCACGTGACCCCCAGGGAAGGTTAATAATTGATCAAAATTTAAAAAATTTGTGCTTAAAATATTTTTATTTTTGTAAAATTTTAAAAAAGTGCGCGTAAAAATATTATGAAATCTGCAAACTTTTTTGTTTTTGTTTTATACTGTATAAAGAGAAGATGATCACAGATAAAGCCACAATTAAAAGTTGAAATATAAGATGGGCGCCCTAAAAGCCTAGTCTATTTAAATTTCATTTAAGTGGTTTTAAGATTATACAAAAGTTCCTGGAAGGAGAAGAGCGGTTGAGAGTTTTCAGGGGAATTATTTTCTCCGATTCTCTTAAATATTTTAATAGATTAATGATGTATTTGAAAAATGTTTTAAATCCTAGATCTTTATTGAAAAAAGATTGATATTCGTCGAAAACATTTAATTTAAATTAATATGAATTTGCATAATGTAATATGCATTAAACAATTGAAATTATTTACGAATTGTAAAATGTTGAGAAACAGGACGTATATGTTGATGAAATATATTCTAAAATTTACAAAGATAAAGGGATGAGTAAATTTGAGTTAGTGGCAAGAACTCGAAATTCCGATATTTACGTTTTTTTATTAATTACAAATGTTAAATAAATAATATGTAGATATACTTACAACTCATAGTTGGAGTTGGTGAATAATGTGAGACTAACGTTATCCTGTAGGTTTTTCCTAAGATTAAGCCTAATCAGAATCAGAGTGATAAAATAATTTTAAAAAAAATAGCGGCTATTGGAAATGAAAGGTGTTCCAAAAAAGGATTTGTATAAATTACAGCTTTGATTTATCAAACCATCATCATTGTTTTGTAATCGGAAACATTTTAAATTATTAAGTTTTGTAAGTTAACAATATTTTTTAAAGAAGTGTCTGCCTAATTTACATTCTATACAACAGTTGTTGTTAAAACTTGGATTTGGAAAATTTTGTAATTTTCAATATTTTATAATATGGAATAATATGAAACATTTAGCTAACAGAAAAGTAATCGGAAACACGGGCATTTCGGAAACGTTTTATCGTGAGACACTTTTTTTTAGTTAAGAACTTTTTTTAACATTTGATCGATGATTTGATTAGTTTCCTGCATATCCAGGTGGTGGTGGGACGAGGTAGGAAGGCTGTACAAACCAGGAGCCAGAACACTATAAACTGAAGAAACTGGCGCCAAAACCTAGACATAGTTTTATTTTCAGATTCTTCACTTTTTTGTTTGTTTTTCTTTTAAAAAAAACATTTCGCGTCATTTTTGTGGAAAGTTAAGTTAAGTTAAGAACGTTAAAATATTTCAAAACAAATTTTAAGTATTAAATTAACGGTCTTATTTTTTAAAAATCTACAGAGCTAAACGTATTTTCACTGAATTTTGATAAACTTTAAGGCCCAGACAGTTGAAAACCACATTTTTCGCGTTAATGAATGATTTGAACCCTTTTTTAGGCCTTTGTTCCAAAAGATAGTAAATCGTAATTATCCTGTTTATTTGTTTGTTTGCATTTACGATCATAACTCATGAACCCCTTGACCGATTTGCCTCAAATACTGTTCGGGGAACTCGGTATAGAACAACGAAAATGTTCTGAGCTAGGTTTTAAAATATCAAATTGACTTTTTAAGGGAAAACTTGGTTTCTAGGCAAAGCGGATTCCCAAGTTAGCACTGTAATAATGTAACATCATACTAATTGAAAACTTGTTAAACTTTTCAGATTTTGAGGAGCTCTTTCATGGATCAAAAACTAACATGAAAAAAAAATCAAATATGTTTCCCAGCATTTGGTGCAGATCGGCAATTCCAAAAAAGTTAATCGAATACAAAGATTTAGTTTTGCTAAAAGTGAAAACAAAAAGTGTTTACTAACCTGCCTCTGATGAATGAATTCCATTTAGCAGTTAATAAATCAACCACAACACCTTCAATCAGATCCAGATGCTCATTTTCTACCTTAACAATCACTTTTTGTCTCCAATACATGCTATTATATAGCATAAAGGGGTGGAGGTCAATTGAAAATGAGAAAAAAGAACAAAAAAGAGGAAAATAATAAAATTATGAGGTTTTTTTCGGACAAATTAAACAAATTTATTCTCCGATTTTGTTGTCTGAATATCCTAAACAAACATAAACAAATCATATTCAAAGACGGAAACTTCTATTGAATTTATGATTAAATTTTTTATAATTAAATGTTTTCGATGTTCAATGTGATAAATTACAAATACAGGATTTCGCTGGTAGAACATATATTGAGTTGCTTTGATTTTGGTATATTTTTTCCCAGTATTTTCTTTGAGGGTAAAATTTTGATTTTGAACAAAAATGTTTTTCTAAATTTGCGTTTTTCCCATTTTTCAGGTAAATAATATTGAAAAGTTTATTAAAAGCAATCTTTAACCCAATAAAGGTCTGAATCTATTTATAGCCTAGGGTAGGTATGGCGGGCGTCCCAGTCCCATCCAAGAAAGGGCTTAAGAGAATAAGCGTAGGGATGAAATGCATGTTCATAGTCCAATATTTTAAGGCCAGCTTTTTGAATAAAAAATTAGACCGATAACTTTAATAGTTCAGGTGCTACGAAGGGTTGAAAAAAATTCCAAAATTCTAAAATTTAAAAATGTAAAATTTTTTGTTTTAAACAAATATCAAAGTGTAATACTTGTTTCTACAATCTACATCCATTTTTTAAGGGCTTTTAGAAAAAAATTTTTTAGATCTGAAGCTTTGGTAACAAAAAATTTATGGGCTATTTGAGAAAATTTGTTTACACAGACCAGACTTTTTACCGCCCTTAATGTTACAAAAAATCCTTTAAAGGAATTGAGTCTTCGTCGCAAAATTTTATTTTCCAATCCCTATATCTTTGCAACCCATTGTCGTAGAGCCTAGATATTTCAAACTATGGATACTGATAGATAAAATATTATAAGATTGAAATATCAAAGGTTTACACTATCAATTTGTTAAGAAATAGGGATTAGAAAATTTGAGTTTGTGGCAAAGAATCAATTCCTTTAAATTCATTCAAAGTCACAAATTTTCACGGTGCATAATGTCAAAAATGAAAGTGCTAGATCTAGCCTATATAGTATATATACCTTCATTTTTTGTAACATCCTCTAGATAATATAGAACACTCACCCCAAATACGATTAGATTAAGAGCACTCTTAGCATCAAGTTCTCCAGTATGAACATCAATAGTATCGAAGGAACTAAGAGGATATGCAGCACACACAACATGTCCAATCTATAATCATAGATTCAAAATAAAGTTGTTATTCTCTAATGTTATTATGTTAAACATTTCATTTTCTTTAGATAAAAGTCAAGATTTTAATGTCTCTCAGACAAAGATATATTCAAAGAAGAAGCATATCTTTCCATGTTAAGATTAACTGTTAGAAATAATTAAATTTGGCAGATTTACAAGTCTTATTTTCCCGCATTTCCATGATTTTAAAATAATGATTAATCATTTTGGTCAAAGCATTATGGGAAACACTGTGATTTATAACCAAAGCAAACAACAAGTGCTTTAAAATGCTAAACTGTACATGTATAGGGCTACATAAAAGCATGAGTGAGTTAGAGCGGTAAAAATCAAAGCCCAAGGCGTTGCGACACTTCAAAGTTGATCCTGTCCTAAAAATTGATGATACTTTGTGTAAGCAGGTTGAATCTATGTGGATTAGAATTTCATAGGCCCTAAATTTGAGTAAAAACTAACTTGGAAAGAAGCTTACATATATAAATTTTTATATTTTTATAAATCTGTTGTACCTGCCAGTAAACATCCCTTTCAATGTTTAGAATATGAAAAAACATTTTGGATTTTGCGAGTAGAGAGGCTAAGGTCAGTGGTGTTAATCCCTAAACAGAAAAATAGATTTTTTCTTGAAAAAAATATATTAAATTAAAGCGCATAGAAAATAAGAGCTTTACCATCGTTATTACCAATGTTAAAATACAAAAAATGACTAAACTTTATGAAAAATCAACTATATACAAATGTGGCGAAAGATAATCGATGACTATAGGTTGTAATATCTGAATGATTTGTTTGAAATTAAATAGATTTTTTACGGTCTAATTCGCAGGTTGCATCTTTCTGAATTTGTATGGACACTACGTTCTTCGGTATTTGTCGTTTTTAACAATTTTCTCCTTATAGACGCAACAGATAAAAGTAAGATTAGTAGCGATCAAAAACGCTTTTTTTATCGCATTAAGCCTATACCCCCTTTCATTTTTTGCGAACACTCCCTTTAAGGCTTTGAAATTTCAAACTTATATTATTTGATCTAACAGAATTTGCAGTTTTAAATATCTAAGGTCTACGACATTAGGTTGAAAATATATTGGGATTACAAAATTAGAGTTTGCGACAATTTCCTTAAGATTTTTCTGATATTTCAGAAAAGTTAAAAATGGTATGAATCATGAAACAAATGCTTTAAGGTTCGTTAACATAAAAGTTTGAATGTTTGGTTCTTTGGTTATTTTTTGCGTATTTGGTTCTACAGCTTGGATTGTTATGATATGGTTATTAAACAATCTTATTGTTATTAAAATAATTGGTTGAAAAACTGGATTACCTGATTATTGAATATTCTAGCATCAGCTCCTGTCTCATAGGCCATGTCAAACATGTCTTTCTTATTCAAGATTACCATCATGTGACAAACATTGTTTCCATTGGTATCCAACGCATTGGGATCTGCACCCTTGGCTAGTATCAGTCTAAAAGTATTCAATATTGAATTCAGATTAATTATTGTTTGAAAAAAACAGATGACAACCCGATTTTTGGAGTACGGGCGACAAAATCCTTCATATGCGTAGATTGAAAAAATCCTGTTTTAAAATGCAAAATTAACAATTTCAAATTCATATTCAGACAATTCTAGTTTACATTAGGGTGTCCGTATTGCTTATATATTTCACTTGCTTTTAAATTAGATTAAAAAAATTAACGGGCAACGACGGGCACTTTAGCTAGTAGTTATTAATAGTGAATTAGCTGTTATTTTCTTCATTCCTTTTTAACCATTTTTTTCTAATTCTTTCTCCCCTTATAAATATCTAACGTTGGTCAGCAGTGTGAAATTGTCAAATTGTTCATTATTTTGATGGCAACCCAGTTTAATATTAAGAATTGATTACATGTTTATACAATAACAGAATATAGAATTTATGTTTCTGTGCCATTTCTTGAAACACTTTTGTGAAAATCAGGCCTGACAGTTTTGCAGTGCAAATCTGTCAATACTTGTTGATGGAAAGGAAAAAGGCGCGCAAACTGGAATGTTACGGGAAAAAAATAATCAATTAGAGCTAAAATATGTGTTTTTAAAATAATACAATAAAAAATGTCGAGAACGAAGGACAACAATAGGAGTTTTGTGTTAAAAAGTTAAAAGTGATTTAAAAAATAGTAATAAATTTAAGCATTAAACCATTAAATGTGCAATTTGCTTATACATTTTAACCCCCCCCCCCCCATCCCGGCCCTTTAGAATAGTTGTTTTGATGGCCAAAGAGGGGAAGTTTTTGTATTTTTTGTTTAATTTACATTTTATGCTAAATTGTTTCCGACTACTGGGAATTATAGATTCTGTTTGAACAAGTTACAAGACAGGAAAATATTAAAGATATTAAGTATTCCACTTTGAACTACAAGGATAACCAGAAAACTGAAATAGAAAGACGAATTTTAGAATCAATTTTGAACTTTTTAAAAACCAAAGAGCATCAGACACAAAAACTGTAAACAAACCCATTTCACTAAATTAGTGATTTTATAGCTGTATAGTATAAAATCGCATCAAACGCTTAAGTATTGCTATAATGTCGTCTTCCATTTTCACTGTGTTTCTGGCTATTTCTGTATTAAATATGTATTCAATAAAGGAACTGAGTTTTTGCCTCAAACTCTGATATTTTAATCCCTATCTTTGCAATCCGATGTCGTTATAGAACGTAAAATTTTGTTCAAAAAATATTTTAAGTTTGAAATATCCAAATTTTACACCATCAAGCTGTGAAGATAGAGGGATTAGAATGTGTGGCAAGAATTCAGTTCCTGTATTCAAACCAACGATTATATTGAAACTTCACATATTTTTACTGAACGCAAGTAATGCAAGGCATGCACAATTTCTTTGAAAAGTTATTACTTTTGACTGTTGAGAATGCAACGTTAAAAAAAAACCTAATATGTGTTGGCAATATCTCACTATCGCACATTTAATGTGAAAAAACAAACATTTTGTTCAAAATTATAGAACAGAATGGCACAACTTATTATATAGTATATACCTTATAATTCTGTTTATAACTTCGAGAACATTTTTCGTTTTTTTTGACAAGTAATTAGCAATTCTCCAAAAATTTTGGGCGAGAGCTTTCAACCTTCGGATCACTGTGTAAGCAGGGACGTTAACGTTTTTATTAATTTGAAAAACGATCGTTTCATAATGAAAACGACAATGAAAAATCGATAACGAAACGATAGTTTTTCAAAAAGTTCGTTTTTTAAAAATGGTCGTTTTTAAATCGATCATTTTTAAAAACGATCATTATTCATATGTATAAACCGTCGTTTCATTAACGATCTTTAACGACGACCCTTCGTTAACGATCGTTAACGAAAAGAGGAAACCGACCTGAAGGGCATCTGCACGATAGTTTTTTCAAAACGATAGTTTTTCCAAAAACGACCGTTTTCATAAAGTTCGTCGTTTCGTTAACGATCGTTAACATAATTGTCAATAAATTTTTTTTCAAACACGATCGTTTTTTCAAAAACGATCTTTTTTCAAAAGCGATCGTTTTTAAAAAGCAGTCGTAAAAAACCGGTCACAAAAAGATTTTTTTTCCAAACAAAACCATTGTTTTTGAAAAAGATTGAAAAACGAAACAAAAAAAAGATTGTTAAACGATCGTTTTCAAAAACGATTAACAACACTATATGCAAGTTGTTCCTTAAGTTTTAAAAACAACAAAATGTTCACCTGTAACACTCTTCTTGGCCCAGGCAAGCTGCAAAACATAGAGGATATTCACCCCAGTACACATGTCCCTTTTCAAGAAAACAAATTAAATCAAATAATGATAGCTTTTCAATTTCATAGTCTTCCAAATGATCTTCCAAATGCGGGGGTGGGTCAATTTATATGATTCCAATCATGTGAAGAAGGAATGGGATATTTTACTGCAAAACATCAATTTCTTCTTCACAAAACTGTTTAGATTGACAGTATACGTACAATTGCGGAGAAATAATTTAAAATTCTCCAGAATTTTTCCCTCTGTTATAGATTACCTGATAATCAGTGTGAGCATTCATAATAACCCGTTCTGAGTCCAGTGTATCCATCCTGTTCGTCTGTTGGTCTTCAGTGCACATAAAATTACCGAAACATGCCTCCTGGAAATTGAAAAAAAAATAATTATATCCCAAAAATTTCGAAACTATTTTAAAACTAAAATTCAAAATTCAATGAACAATTTGATCATCAAAATGGTTCAAACTTAAAAATAGAAGTTATTTGTTAAGTTATTTGGGTAATTTCACAGTAAACGAAACATTCTATTCGGTGTTGATTGGTATTAGTTGAATTGCGCTCGAATTCTGAACGAAAAATCGGCTTTTTTCTCCGGCCACAGTCGTCTTTGAAAAGTAAGACTAATACCAATCAACAGCGAATAGGCTGTTTAGTTTACCCTCAAATTACCCAAATAAGTGAACGGTCCCTTTAAGATAAGTGAAAAACATGTTATTGTGCAAGTGCTGTTGATCGTTATTGGTTTGTTTTTCTTTATATATCTTTCTCAGGGTAAACATCTCACATAGTGAGAAATTTTTTTTTCTTCAAAATTTGCTTTTGCTAAATTTTTTATTTGTGTTTATTTTAAATTTAAACTGGGACAAAAATGCAAAAGCTAAAACTATAATTATTTTGGTTCGTTTTTCAATTTTTTAAAAAATAAAAAAATCGTTGGAATTTAAAATTTTTTTTGATTTACAAAACTACTTGTGCATACCTGATAGTTGACTCCAGCATCAAGAAGATATTTAACTATTGCTGGACTCTCATTTACAGTTGCCAGATGGAGAACATTCTCACCATAGTACTCTTCACTGATGAAGATATCATTGATCAACTGAAAAATAAAGAATATTTGATTTATTCGATTTGAGAAAATGATGATTCTCATTTTAGCTTAATCTACAAGAAGTTCAGAAAATAAATGCAAAAGAGGCTGGAACTTTTGAACAGATGAAGAGATAATCCCTTCATTGCACTAATCTGCTTCTCTAGACTATACCCCAAGGCCAGAATTAAATTTAATTCACTGACCAAACTCTTCATTAATATAATTCACTATGTTTTTTTTCTGATTTAACTTCAATCATCTTCCGAGAAGGCGTCTAACCAGAGTTTGAGTTACAGATATGTATAGCTTGAAAAACCAGATGTCAGGGTCGAAAATAGTTGGATTAAAGTTAAAAGCTATAAGAACAGCAAAAATGTGTAAAGATATGTTTGTAACCTTTGGAAATCGTTTAATCATTCGTTTGGCAAGCTCAATGTGTGTAGAGGTAGGAATGAGAAAGCACACATGTAAACCAGTTTCTCCAACCGCTCCACGCTTTGACAGGCGCCAACAGCACTCTCGGAACATTTCAGGATCTCAAATAAGAGTTTGTTAGTGATTTCATTAATCTATATAAAAAAGTTCATACATATTTATTTATGTATTTGTTAGCTATAGCTGGCCAAACGTTTGAACTGAATGGGCTAACGTTTTTTGAGGAAACCCATGGTAAAATTTTGTAAAATTCCACGGGCAACGCCGGCATTTCAGCTAGTTTTCTATGTAATAAAGCTCTTTGCTCATATATGGCTATATGTTAGTTATAATGGGCCAAACGTACGGCTGGACCAAATGAGCTGAATTTTTTAGGGAACCCATTGGTGCCCGGTAAGTAACAAAAGCTAAAACAATTTTTTTCAAACCAATTTTTTTCTCATTTTTTTTTGAAATTCCACGGGCACCTTAGCTAGTTATTAATATGCATGTTAGAGATTTTATTAATTTAATGATTTGTTTAAATGATTTAATGATCTGTTTAGATGATTTAATGATTTGTTTAAATCATTAAATAGTTATTATACGCTCTGCTTTCAGTTTGGAGCGATGTTTTAACCTTTTAGATCTAAATATTCAAAATAAACCATATTAATTATCTTTCTTTTTTCATATCAAATTGATATTGTTTTTTTTTTACCTTTTTCGGGAGAATACTTCTTAGTTGCTTCTGCAACAATATCACTTGTTTCGAAGTCAAAATTATCCACTGCTTCTCCTGCAACAGAATATTGCTTTTAAAAGTATAGATTAAAAAATCCTAGAAAACATATTTAGTAGTTTTATTTAACTATATTTCACCTAAATCCCTAATCTGAGGCAGTTGATTGTCTCTAGACCGCTCCGAGTTTCTCAGAAAAATAAGCTCAGAAATTGGAACCATTCTGCCTCGACCCTACATATTATAGATCAGGGTTTTAAACATACAGTGAGAACTATAAAACTGTGGAGTAGGAAGACAATATTGAAGCATAAATTAAGTGTCTTTGATTTTGTTACAAAGCAAATAGTTTTATTAAAAACTTTTAAATCTCTTATAGGTCTGTTCACACTGCTCAATTGTACAGGGTGTCCCAATAAACATGAGAATTCAGTGACGAATTCGATATCGTCTTTGTTATGAATTAGCATTGTAATACCTAATTTCAAAAACCATAATATTATTATGTCTGATAGAGTTTATTTTATGAAAATGGTAAATGGCTGTAAAGATGTGTCGATAATGTCTCCGCAAGATGAACAGTGAAGACGGACAAGTTTACTCTGTTAGTATACCGTAATTTTCTTGTTTTGCTAAGTACAACAGTATGCAGTCAAAACAACCAAACAAATTGTAAACATAGCAGACGAAAATCTTACAGATTACAGCTTTCTCAGTAGGTATCAATATACTAAATTAAAGAATTATTTAAAAAGACGATATCGAATTCGTCACTGAATTCCCATTATTATTGGTAAACCCTGTAGTATATCATGTTCATAACACCGAATTCTTAAAATTTTTAAAAGTCAGGAACAATTTGTTCAAAATTATGAACATATCGTTGGAGATATTTCACAAAATGTCGGAAATTTTTTTTTTAATTATTACAAAATGGAAGGAATTGTTACCAAATGGAAGAAATCGTTAACAATTATGGAAGGAATTGGAATCAAATGGAAAGAATTGTTAATAAATAGAAGAAATTATTTACAAATTGAAGGAAGTTAATAGAAAAAATTGTTACCAAATAGAAAGAATTGTTAATAAATGGAAGGAATTGCTAATGAATGGAAGTCATCGTTAACAGATGGAAGATATTGTTAACAATTATGAAAGAAATTATTAATAAATGGAAGGAATTGCAAATGAATGGAAGTCATCGTTAACAAATGGAAGGAATTGTTAACAATTGTGAAAGAAATTATTAACAAATGGAAGGAATTTTTAACAAATGGATGGAATTGTTAACAATTATGGAAGTCGTTATAAGCAAAGGTTACAAATGTAACAGGACAGTGAGAACCAGAAAACTCTTGAATAGAAAACGACTTCATAGACTTTATACACTCCAGTTTTAACTTTAATTAGTGCAATGAATGTTTGTGAAGTTAAGTTACCTCATTATAAAGGAAGGGTTTCAGTTTAACATCTATTTTACAAAAACATTATCTTTCGAAAACTTCCTGATTTTGAGCTATTTAAGAATTGAAATCATAATATGAATGTCATGTTTTAAAAGTCCATTTTCAAATCCTTTAACCGAAGAATGTTTTCTCCTCTTAAATGATTCAAATCAATATTTTTGTAAATTTTCCTAATGCCTCATCCAGTTCTCTGTAGTTCTTTTTCTTCTGACACTTTAGCATTAATTCAAAAAGATATCCTCCTCCTTAAATATTAAAACAAGGATTTTATTTGCTGCTTATGGGAATTTAAGTCCCCAAAAGTGTTTTGTTTTGAAATAGTAAGTTTTAGTTTCCATCTGTTTTTTTTTGTGAAATAGAATGTGCGGTGCGAAAAAAATAATGCGAAAATTTCGTGAAAAAACCGGAAATTATGCGAACAAAATACGGAATTTTTAAATGGCTAGCTGGCTCATAGTCATGGGTGAACGTATGTGGACGGACAGAAACTTAAAAAGATAAAGAAATCAAATTCTCTTCATCAAACATTTATTAAAGTAATGGAAGAGAAATTATTAATATGCCATAAAAAACAACTTCAAATATTGAGCTGTCAGAGCTGAGAATTCTACAAGGTTTTTTTCGCCATTCATTAATGCAGAGCTTATAACACTTTTTTTCCCCCGAAAACATTTTTCGCAAATGCAAACTAAAATTTTCGAATTTTTTCGCGAAACGTTTCGTTCGCTGCAAACCCTAGTTGAAACTGCATTTCATTGAATTGAATTATTGTACTGTCTCAATACTTTGTTTCTTAATCATCATTATCTTTAAAGGGATTTATAAGTTGTATTTTCAAGTGAACCTCCATTTTAAAAGTGTCCTGTCCTATTCACAAAGCACCTTTTAAAACTTTTATTTGATCAATAGTTTGGAAGATATCGTTGGTTTTTAGTTTGTTTTGTTTCTAACAATTTCTTTCATTATTTCTGTTGCACAAATATGCAAGTCATAGTTTTCCAAGAAAAAAAACAAGGTTTTCTGTGTACAGTTGTCACATAAATGTAGGTTCATTCAAAATTACGTCTACACCTTGAATTTACATAAATTGATGCAAGTGAATTTTTTAAAAGAAAACTATGTTAAATACGGTTATTTTAAATTTTGAGGTGGAAAAATAATAAAAATAAAGTGCCCAGCGTTGCCAGTGGAAATAAAAAAATCGAATTTAAAAAAAATGTCGACTTTAAAAAATTTAAAATTTAGCCAATTTGGTCCAGCCGTTTGACCAGCTATAGCTAACATATAAATATTTATAAATGAGCAAAGAGCCTTATTAAATAAATTATTTATTAATTTCTTACCGTTAATATCTAAAAGCTGGTAAAGAGGAATACACGAGTCTTCTTCCAAATTTCTTTTCTTACTTTCAGGCAGATTTCTAAGCAGGTATTGTATTTTTTATTTGTTTACTAGGTGGTGTGCCCGTGGAATAAAAAAGGATTTTTAAAAAATCAATAAAGAAAAAATTAAATTTTTGAGAACAAAAAATTCATTAAATTGCAGCCCATTCAATGTAGCCGTTTGGCCATAGTTGTCATATATATATATATATATATATATATATATATATGTATATATAAGCGAAGAGCTTTATTATTTATAAAAGAAATTATTCATTTTTGTTGCAAATACTAAATCTAAGTATTTCGACCTACTTTTTGCAGTAACTAATCCTTAAGTTCTATGGTAAAATATATGTTGTATTTTTCTTATAGGTGCCCTATATACGCACGTTTTTAAAAGATATCTTAGCATTGTTAATTAATAGTTGATGTGTTAAAAAATAAAACAATCAGTCTACTTTACATTGGGTACCATTGCTATTGATAGAAATTCCCTAATGTGGAATGAAAATGCGGGCGCAGAATTATTGGCTTTTCGGTTGCATAACATTTTTTTTTTTAAGTATAAAATATTCGTATTCTTTAACAATTATAAGAAATACTCTTTTACCTGTTTGATCTTTATCCTAATGTTCTGACATATGCAGATGTTGGTGTTCAATGCGACATTCTTCAACATCGAGAGAAGTCTACAGAACTTCATGAAAAGGACGTCAAAGAATTTCTTGTGTTGAAAGGCCATAACCCAGCCAAGATTCATCACATCCTGAATCCGACAAGCAAATATTTCCGGAACTACACTCAAGAAGATATCTGCCATGGATTAACACTGAAATACATGAGGTAAAATTACACTTAAAGCTGATAAATATTTTGCATATAAATTTTACCAGTATGTATAAAATGTATTTTTTATCTAAGTTTTATGCATCTAATATTTTCAACATAGATTGTACATGCTACAAATTCAATCACTGTGCACTGTGAGTTGTTACTTACTTTAGTTTGCCATATTCTTTTTTAATTAAACTTTAATCTTTAATTAACTTTTTTTATTTGCTAAAAATTTTTTTTATAGTTCTAGAGCATATGACTACTTAAGAAACTCAAATCTTCTTCTGGCTCCCTGTAAAACCACTCTGAAGAAGCGAATATCTGAAATTGAATGCAAGCCTTGTTTAAGCGAGATGTATATCAACCTTGCAGCAAACTCACAGAAGTTGGACCAGTTTGGAAGTTTTGGTGTTCTCTGCTTTGACGAGATGGATATCAAGGAAATAATTCAGTATGATAGTGATAACAAATGCGTCTATGGTCCAGCTAAAAAGGTTCAAGCAGTGATTCTTCGAGGATTAACATCTAAGTGGAAGCAGCTCATTTTTTATGATTTTGATGTCAAGATGACCAAGAATCTGTTGCTTTCCATAATCTCAAAGTGTGAAGAATATGGAATTAAGATCCATGCAGTCGTATTTGATATGGGCAATCACACATTTATGTCGCAGTTCAGGATACTGGATGGTACAAATAAGATCAAGAATCCATCTGACCCATCAAGATCAGTCTATTTCTTCCCAGATGCTCCCCATCTTCTGAAGCTGTTGAGAAACCATTGTCTTGACAAGGGGTATTCATTTCCAGACGGTTCTGGAAACAATGTTACTCTTGGCAAAGAAGATTTTAAAAAGCTTATGATGCAGGATGGTAAAGAACTCAAAATTTGTCCAAAACTAACAGCTGACCTAATCTATGTAAAAGGATCAGGCAGGCAACGTGTAAGGACAGCTGCTCAACTTTTCTCAGAAACTGTGGGAAAGGCCTTTATCTTCCATTTTGGGGATCTCTTTGCAGCACAGAGTAAATTCATACTTGATGTTAATTACTGGTTCGACACATTGAATAGTCGAAGTAAGTTTAGTTCTGCCCCATACAAATCAGGATTTGGTGTGAGGTTGGAGAACCAAACTAGAGCATTAGAAAGCATGAGAGCTTTAGTAGAGATGATGAGATTTGCCAACAATACTGCTAAGACTGCAAAGCTTCCTTTTCAAAAAGGAATTCTGCTGAGTATCAATTCTCTGTTAGGCCTTTTTAAGGACCTTCAGAAGGAAGGTGTAGATTTACAAACAAAGAAATTTTTCACGGCGCTTGGTTTTTAAAAAATGATCAATAAGAAATGCAATTAGTTGTGATATAATATTTAAAATTTAGGGTATCATATGTATTATGTGTTGATTGAAAATAAAGGAAAATGAAAATTCCATTTAAAGGGACTGTAAGTGTCCCTTCATGCACAGATGGCAATGCCCGATTCACAATATACAACGGTGTCTCTTAAAAGCTTTGTCATATAAAGATGTTTATAGTTCTAAAAACTCATTATTTTCAAAAGTAACTTGCGCATTTCTACTCCATGACATATTAGGAGATATCAGAATTAAACACATTAAAATGACATGTACTTCCCTTTAATATTAAAATATAAATGTTTTTTGTCTGACCTGATAAAGAGGAGTTTCCTCAGATTCAGTTCCTGAAAGAAAAGATGACACTCCCCGGCCAAAATTCAGCATTACGGGCCTATCAGCAACATTTCTATACAACAGCAAACATTACGGACATTTTGAACCTGAAATTGTACAAGGTAAGTAAACCAATAATTGATAAAATAAAGAAGAATCGTCGTAAAAGCTTTCGAAAATGTGGTCTGCTTCAACATTAACGGAAATATTGAAAATATAAAAGATTTTATTGTTAATTAATAATTTGGAATCTAATAACTCTATCAATTTGTGAAACGGTAAACCACATTTGGAATTTTCAATTTAGCAAATACCCTACTCTATAAACTGCTCACGAAGACGTATCTATTCAGGTACAATTCAGTTTCACTTAGCTATTAATGTCTAAGCCCGGACACAATCTGCTCCGCTATCAATGTCAACCAGGCCGGACACGAGCTCTTAATTGTTTAACTCCAAACAAAAGGCGTGATAAGCTATCAATGTCTGCATGGACACAAGCATGTAACTATCAATGTCTCAACTAGAACACAATCTTGAGCTATCTATGGGGTGGAGAGTGTGTGACACCAGCTCTCGTTATATCACTGAAGTTAAGCACATTTGTCCACAGTCAGTAACTGGATTGGTGTCCAGAATGTTGTTAACAGGTTCAATTCTTGTACTGCACACAAACCTGTGGTTTCAAAAACATCTGAAGCTGGCATCTGGTGAAGCAGTTATAACCACCTGACAAATGTAGGAGGACAGGGGGTAGGCAGCCAAAGGGTGCATGCTTTCTACTCAACAAGAAAGAAGTTTTATATGAATTGATCCAAGAGAATGATGATGAAGAGAGGAATGGTGGACAAGCAGGGAGTTTATGGTTCCCAGCTATAGGTATTATCCAATCCGGGCTTACAAACGATAGGAAGCAATGTTTATGTTATGTTATGTATCCTATCTGTATGGCACCCAGGCCTCATTCCAGCATATCAGAATAATTCCTGCACTCTTTTATTCTCAGGCTTAAGAAGCCCTTAGGCAGCTGGAATCTTGTCAACCATCTTCTCAGTATGAATAAAGTGTGGAAGAATGAATGTGCTGCCAGATTACAACCCCT